CAATACAAGAATAATAAACATTCAGTAAATAAGCTGTTATCTAAACAACACAGAGAAGCTCTAAGAGAACTTAGAAGCAACGAAAGCTTAATTATTAGCAAGCCGGATAAAGGTGACGGTATAGTTTTACTGGACAAAAGCGATTATGTGGAGAAAATGGAAGGCATTTTGAATGATCAAACTAAATTCCAATCTCTTGGGGTTTCCAAAGACCTCAATGGAAGAGCGGAGAAACTAATGACCGACTCCCTCAAAAAACTGAACCAAATAGGAGTATTATCACCAACCACGTATGAGTCCATGAAGCCAACGGGTACTTATACTCCACGTCTTTACGGTCTACCAAAAGTTCACAAACCGGGTCTTCCTCTTCGCCCTGTTTTAGATATGTATAACTCTCCATTTCATGGAACAGCGAAGTGGTTAGTGAAGATTTTGGGTCCTTTGCACAGAGAAATCGTGCAACATCGAATTAGTGATGTCTTTGACTTTATTTCTAAAATTTCCGAGACTAATGTGAGGTATAAACGCATGTTATCCATGGATGTATCATCACTATTCACGAATGTACCGCTTATGGAAACAGTAGACTATATTTGTCAAAAAATCGCCGATAGGCAATTAGACTTAGGAATCCCCTTGTGTAGCCTCAAAGAATTACTTCTTAAATGCACAATGAATGTTCACTTCGTCTTTAATAATGCATACTATCGACAAGTAGATGGAATAGCTATGGGTTCACCATTAGGCCCAATGTTAGCTGACTTCTTTCTCGCAAAACTTGAAAACGGGAAATTGAAGGACATCATCAAGCAGTTTGATATGTATTATCGATATGTCGATGATACATTTATCTTAGCTGACGAGAATGTTAATATAGACGAATTGTTGCTGAAATTCAACAACATCCACCCTTCGCTTACCCTTACTTGTGAAGAGGAGCAGGACAATAAACTACATTTCCTGGATGTCTTGCTAAATAAGAGAGAAGATGGGTCACTTGGGAGAAGCGTGTATAGAAAAAGCACTTTCACAGGGCAATATACACACTTCCTTAGTTACGTGCCCATTAAATATAAAAGGAATGTTGTAAAATGTCTTGCGAGCAGAGCAAGAAAGATATGTACAGATGACCTCTTACAAAAGGAATTTGAATATATTCACGAATCCTTGATGGAGATGGGCTATCCGAGTAATTTCATAAAGAAACATATGAAAACATCGGAGAAAAAACCGGAGACTCTGACGGCACGTAAGAAACCTCTATTTATTAAGTTACAATTTAATGGTGACTTATCAAGTGAGATTCTATTCCAACGACTTTCAAGGAGTATACGAAGAACATTTTACGCAGCACACCTATGTTTGTCATTCTCTAGCCGACGAATGATTGCGACGCAAACGAAGGATAAGCTTGATAGTTTTGCCACATCTATGTGTATTTATCAATTCAACTGCACCTGCGGTGACAGTTATATTGGGCGTACTACTAGACAGCTTAGCCAACGTGTTAGTGAGCATCTCCCATCGTGGTTTGGCAAAGGACAGACAAAAACAACCCGTAGCTCAATTTTGTCACACTTAATTGATAGTGGTCATGTAATTGAGAAAACGAGAGCTTTCAAAGTGATTCATCGTATCCCTCTGAATCTTTCCAATAGACTTCGTATTCGTCTACTACATACAGCTGAGGCAATAGGCATTCGAACTATTAAACCTAAATTATGTATTCAAAAAAAGTTCGTACAGCCTTTATCCCTCCCTTGGCCTATTAGGACGTAACCAACTAATAACTTCTACACCACCCTTTGTTTGTATTTTCATCCCCTTTCTTATCATCCCTTAATCTTATCTTCATTATGAACGTGTTTCATTTACTTCCCTTACAATCTAACATTACTTAATCGGTTCATTTGTTTTTACTAGCCTTTATCGACTACTTCCACCTGAACAGTTGTTTGTTTAATCATGCTGTTTTTTCATTATTCGTGTTATCACAGATTGCCTCACTTTTTCATCCTTATTATTGATAAGACCATTATTATTATTACTATTATTATTATCATTACTACTATTATGATTAATGGCACAATTTATATTCACCATCGTATTATCCTATAGACAAAACATCATGATTGGTTTATATTTGAATTTATATTTGTAAAGTTATGTATATTAAAGTTAAGCCTGATGAGATCTAATTGAAAACAATATTGTTCGCTTAAATGTGTTGTTCTAAATTTTACTATGGGAATATTTAATATATTGAAATATCGTTCAACAAAAGTGGTCAGACTTGTGTTATATATGGTTGTTTGTAACGACATCAGTCAGGCATCCGTATTATTTGACCGCCTAAATGAGGTCCACCCAAACATTAAATTCACCATGGAATATGAAAACAACGACGAGTTCAACTTTCTGGACCTACATGTAAAAGGAAGAAACGATGGAATGGTTGAAAAGTTCATCTACAGAAAAGAAACCTGGACTGGACAATACCTTCACTACAACAGCTTCCGCTCTATGAGCTATAAGCAGGGATTAGTAAGGACACTGTACTACAGGACCAGGAAGTTATGTTCGCGTAAAAAGGTAGAAGAGTTAAGCTTTGCTGAAAAATGCCTTAAGGAAAACGGGTATCCAAAAGGATTTATCCTAAAGTACAGCAAAGAAAGAGAAGTATCCAACAGTTGAAAAGAAGAAATTGTTCGTTTGCCTCCCATTCAAGGGAGAAGCAGTATCCTAAAAGATTGACAAGAGGATAAAAGGATGCTTCCCTGCAGCTAAGCTGGTGACACTATAGAGCACTACATGCTCTATGAGCCAATCAAAACTGGATAAGTACCCTGCTGATGTTACCTCTAACTGTACTGATAAATTTACGTGCACCTGCGACAGCAAGTACATTGGAAAGACAGAAAGAAAGGCTTCTATCCGGTTTTCAGAGCATATTCTGAGAAACTTATGCTTAAAAGGAAGCAGATATTTACAAAGTGCAATTACCAGACACCTTGTGGATACGGGCCATTTTGTCGAGATTTCCAAATCCTTCGAAATATTAAACATACAAAGGACAGCGAATCTACTATGATTTGCTGAAGCAATTGCAATCAAACGTCTCAGATCAAACTTATGCACACAGAAAGAGAGTGTAGTGAATCTCTCACTCCCTTGGTAACCAAATCATTTTCATTACACTGATTGATCATACACACTAGTGAGCTCAGCTCACTAAGCAAGTTTTCAAATCGATGAACTTTGACCTTCTTGAGTTGCCATGTTGACGTACAAGCTAACACTGTTTATTAGATTTTTCTGTCTTCTCTCACCCGTCTTCTTTTTTTCTCTTGTTTGATTGTATATACATCGATGGTAAATTGTAATACTTATATTTCATCCTATAATGTCTTTTCTATTACCTTTCAAACATTGAAGTATGAAATGTTATTGTATATAACCATTGTAATTTCAGGTAGTTTGCAGCTGATGAGAATCTGTGAAATAGAATGATGATATCACATTTTATACTGCCAATCTGATTCCCAAATAGTTGTAGGCTAATGTTTAAATCTACACTGAAACTAGTGGGGTACGCACAAATCCAACATCTTATCGAATAACGCCAGAAGACTGTGAAAAAATTTAACAGGTAAGTAGATTTGTTAGAATTCAACGATAACGAATTCCTTTCTATACAAGATAGAAAATGTTTAATAAACAGTGGCTCAAAGGTACCAGTAGATAGAAACTATACCCCACACTAAAAGTTGAACTCAACTGACCCCCACCCCACACTATAAACAAACACATTGATGCGATTATGATCTCCAAATGTTGGTCTGTAGGGACTTGATTGGTTACGCGTCTGATCACAAACTGACATCAGTTGGTAAACCACTGAAAAGCAGTGAGCACTGGGTAGCTGTATCTTTAGTCACACTTCAGGACACTATTCATCAGCATGCATACCAACCGCCAGGGTTCGAACTCAGGACCTTTCAGTTGCACACAAGGGGAGCTTGCAAACCATTTGGTTACTGGGACCCACCGATCTATCAGCCTATGAATTCCAACACCTACGATATACAGTGGAGTAATGACCAGCACACATCATCAACGAGTAACTGTCAAAATTCGTAACCAGCAGGATCCATGTTTGATGTCACACAAAATCGAAGACTTACAAGCGAAAACCGACAAACTGGTCGAAGAAGCAGCCAGAGAAGACAGGACTCCAGGTGAACATAGACAAGACGGAGGTTATGAAAATAAACAACCAACAACAACAACAACAGCAGCAGCAACATCCAGCGCCAATCATCATCAACGGGAGGGATTTGAAAGAGGTTACTTCTTTCACTTATCTTGGGAGCATTGTCTCAACCACAGGAGGAACGGACGAGGATGTCAAATCGAGCGAGAATCGGGAAGGCGAGAAACACATTCATCAACCTGAAACCAATCTGGAAATCTTCGTCACTCAGCATCAACAACAAAATTCGGATTTTCAATACAAACGTCAAGTCAGTCACTTCTTCTATACGGATCAGAAACTTGGCGGTGGGTCACAAAGAATATTTCCAACAGCCTGTTGCAGACCTTTATCAACAGCTGTCTTCGCTGGCTCTATACTGAAGATCAGATGGCCGGAAAGAATCACCAACAAGAAACTATGGGAAGAAACAAAACAAGAACCAATCGCTCAACAAATATGCAGGAGAAAGTGGAGATGGATTGGACACTCGCTGAGGAGGCCGTTGGGTGACATCGCGCGTCAGGCCGCTCGAGTGGAACCCGAAAGGGAAGCGGCGAGTGGGACGTCCAAGGGTGACATGGAGGAGATCGTGTGAAGAGGATCTGAAACAGTATGGAATAACATGAATGCAAGTGAAAAGTACAGCACAAGACAGAAGCAAGTGGAGACGTGCAGTTGAAGCCCTATGTTCCACTAGGAACCCAAGGGAACAATAATAATAATAATAAATAGGATCTACCAATTGCGTATAAGTTTGTTTATTAAACAATATCAAGTATTGCCTTACATAGAGATTATTGTTTGATTGGTCCACCGAGTCAGATAAGAAAGAGAACAGTCACTCACTCACTCGCGTATAAAACACTGGCTGCTGATTACACACACTATATCTCGGGACATTCGCCGCCGCCGTTGGATTAGGTCCCATTTGCCTGAATGCTTCACCACAACCTCTTTTTGTTGTTTGTAACCGAAAGACCCCGAGAGTTCGAACCCTGGAGCAGTAGGAGAAGTATACTCAATGAATCAATGAGAAACAAAAGGAAGAGTAAAGTCAACTTCTTTTTTTTTATCCACAAATAAATAAGTAAATAAATAGTTAGGTAGGTAGATAAGCGGATGAGCAGATGAGTATAAAAAAGGTAACATGTATGCGTTTGCGAGTGTGTGCTGATATTGTTCCCGGGATTAAAAAATAAATAAAAAGTCAGTTGAAGTAACAAAAACAGAGTCAACTTAGTCATCGCTGAGAGGTAGGCAGCAGTAGTAGTGGTAGTAATAATAATAATAATAATAGTACATTATGGTAATTTAAGCATGGATACACAACACCCTACTACTGGCAATGATTTTCACCTGGTAGATAATACACATGTTATTTAGATTAAAAATAAATTTTTTGTTTAAAAAAATTAAAAAAATAATAATATGGAAACAAATATGGCATTGATAATTAATTAATTAACTAGTGGCAATACTGAGAAACCGCTGAAATACAATAATAATATGATTACAAAGTATAGTGGTGGACAGGTGAAAAGTATTTCGAAAGTATAAAAGACTATTCAGTATATAATAAAAATAAGGCACGATAATAGTAATAGTAATTGATAAGCACAAGTATATATAAAATATATACACAAGTATTATATATATATATATATATATATAAATCCATGAGTAATTTTAGTCAGTTGGTTCTTCAGCTTTAAAATTCTTTATTAAACTTTCAAGATCTACTACATTACTGAAGTCATCGTCAGATGTTGTGTCAAAACTGTCAACTGTATAATCAGGATCTTCTTTAATTTTTGCAAGGATATCAAGGAATTCATAATTATCTAACCACATACTGGGATTTTGATCATTAATAAGTGATGTAGGTGATGGGGATAAAAGATTTGAGTCAGTATCCTGTTCTTCTTCTTCTTCTTCCTTCACCCGCTCCTCCTCCTCCTCTTCTTCCTGTTCATCGTCACCATCGTCATCATCATCCTCATCGAGTTCGTCATCCTCATCCTCATCATCAAGGGAAGCTGAAGAAGCTGATCGTTTCACTTTACACTGATTGACAGGTGTATTTGACCAATTCGATAAACAACTTTTAGTTTCTTCTGTTTCAAAATAATAACTATTATGATTATTGTAGTTGCTGTTGTTCTTCATCTTATTATCATCATTGTAAGATGAAAGATTTTTAGAATTATACAATCGTCGTCTTCTGATTCGCTTGGAATAAACTGGATTAGAGGATATATGATTTGGTGTAGGATAGGAGATTTCTTGTTCACCGATAGATGCACGTTCTGCAGGAGATACATCGTATACACCGTCAATAGATCGACAACTATAGATAGACAACAACAAAAATATGAAAAAAAATTGAATTCAAGTGGACATTTCATCAAATAATACTTAAAACAAATGAAATACTAATAATCTACTTGAAAATTGGATCAGTCTAAACATGATTGTTTTGGGTGGTTCAGTGTGTGGTAGATAGAATACTGCTACTAGCTATCCACGAATGTGATCCCAACCCACCCAACACCAACACCAACCCTTTCGTAAAACGTAAACACCACTGGCTACTGAAACTTGACAGTTCAAGCTTCACGCTCTATGTGCCCCACTTGGAATGCAAAGGAGTAAAATTAAACAGAAACAAAAATACAAAAAAGATTTCTAAGCTTTTCATATATTTGTTGTGTAAGGATTATATGTTTGATTAGTCGCAGTATTTCATGAATTGGCAGAAGAGTTAGAATTCGTGGGCCGGTTGGCCATTGGATCGGATCCCAGTGAAGTTACATCGACTGAAATGGTTAGGTCATGTGTTACATATGCCTAGTGTCATCGCCTTCCTCGACAATGGGCAATGTTAGCTAACATAGGATGCATCAGGATGGAAATGAGCTGCTAGTGATGGTCAAACCAAAACATCGCTTCACTAGTCAATGAAATCCACAACAGTTAGTTTAAGCCAGTCAGTCACGTAGGAAGGTGTAGACTGGCTTCCTGGTTGGGACCCTCGGGACGGTAAACACCAATGGAGACAATTGGTGATATGCCTGAAAATCGTTCTCAATGCCTGGGGAAGATGCATCCACTCCTTGTGACTTATAATTTCCAATGAAACTGTTTTGTTCTTCGTTATTACTCTTCTTTTGGCCTTATATCTCTGTTTACTGTCTCTATTATGCATTTCTTCTACTTTCTTCTCTTGCTTTGTGTGCTACATGGAGTGTGGTGACTTGAGCTGCTGCACATCGGTGCAAAGTTCTATGTCGAAAACAGACAGACATGTTTTCCTAGGTTACTAGTCTTTCTCTCTTTTGTGTGGTACATAGTGTGTCAACTTGAACTATTGCACTTTTCTGGCAAGTTCTATGCTAAGACAGTCAGTAAACTTAACCTTTGATCAAAACATATACTCATAGAAATAAATAAAACTATAAAATTCAGTAGGATTAAACCGCACATCATATCACATAGAGGGACAATAGCGATATACGATCTAATATACTCAAGCAACAATCACTCTACCTGAGGTGTTTCTGTATAGGGCTTTCAAGATGCAAACAAACTTCTCGGGTACACCCCTCTCTAACAGACACTTACAGACACTACAGTTCTGTCCAACGAATCGAAGGCAGCCCTTATATCAAGAAACACAACGATTGTTGGCCTGCAATACGTGTGGCGGTGTTCCAGCAACTGACGAAGAGTGAACACATGATCAATGCATCCACTACCTGAATGAAGCACAACCTGAGAAGCAAGATAGCGGTCAGTATTTTAGACGCAACTGGTAGCAGACTGATACCCTTATGATTATCATATGAATTACGTCGACCCTTCTTAAAGATATCGACGATGATGACTTCGTTCCACACTGATTGCACACTCTTAGTCTCCCATACCTTCTTGAACAATCCAGTTAGAGCCATTACCAGAGTCTCGTAAACAGATGCGTATATAAACAACCTGTTAAAAAAGTTGCTCAAATTATAACTGACTGATTTAGTTTTTTAAAAAAAAGTTCCAGTTTCTCTCAATGGGATACCAAATGGGTCAGTCGGTTTTCGACATAGAACTTTGCACATATGTGCGGCAGTTCAAGTCGCCACACTCCCTCCTTGTAGCACACAAAGCAAGAGAAGAAATACATAATAGAGACAGTAAACAGAGTAATAACGCAAAAAGAAGAGTAATAACGAAGAACAAAACAGTTTCATTGGAAATTAAAAGGAGTGGATGTATCTGCGCCAGTCATTGACAACGATTTTGAGCCATATCACCTATTGTTTCCAACCATTGGTGTTTACCGTCCCGAGGACCCCAACCAGGAAGTCTACACCTTCCTATGTGGCTTAGACTAACTGTTGTGGATTTCATTGACTGGTGCCATGTTTTCGTTTGACCGTCGCTAGCTCTTGTCCAGCCTGGCCCTATATCAGCTAACATTGCCCATTGTCGAGGAAGGCGATGACTAGGCATACGTAACACATGTCCTAACCATCTCAGTCGATGTAATTTCACAGTCTCGTCGACTGATTTCCCCTCCTTACCTAGCACTCGACCGACACCTAACCTCAATATTGCTCACCTTATTATACCACTTCACAAGGGAGATAGAACGCAGACACCTATGATCGAAGACAGCTAATCTTTTCATGTCTTCTGCTCTCAATGGCCAGGTCTCACAGCCATAAAGGAGGACGGAGTGGACTGCTGAGCAGTACACACGTCCTTTGGTCGATAGTCGGATATCACGTCTACGCCAGAGACTGCGAAAACTGGCGTATGCAAACCTAGCCCTCTGTATTCGTGCTGAAATTTCGTCTGAGATCAATCCGTTGGCACTGGCTGATGGTACTTCCCAAGTAAGTGAAGCGGTCAATGTGCTCTACCACTTCACTTCCTGTTTCTAATCTGGGGGTCGGTGAAGTCCAATCCTGCAGCATCATCTTACATTTTACAGGGGCGAATCGCATGCCAAACATATGAAGATTGTTGCTCAGGGTGTTCAGTAGACTCTGCATTTTGTCAGCGTCCTCGCCTAGAAGGACAATATCGTCTGCATATTCCAAGTCAACGAGATTATTCCCAGGTAGCAAGTCAATCCCTGAGTCGCTGAAGTGTGTTAGGATTAAGTCCATTAGTACGTCTATGATGAAGTTGAATAGGAATGAGGATAATGGGCATCCTTGACGGACGCCACTAGTCGTCACCACTTCAGATGACAACTCGCCGTAAGCCCTCACCTGGCTGCATGAGTTCGAGTAGAGTGCCTTAATCAGTGCAAAGTATTTTCTCGGCATTCCCTTTACAGCCAAGCATCGCCAGAGAACCTCCCGGTCGACAGAATCGAATGCCGCTTTAGGTCAAAAAATATAATGATTGTTGGACGCCGGTAGGAATGCCTGTGTTCTAGAATCTGTCGAAGGGTTAAGATATGATCAATACACCCTCTTCCTGGTCTAAAGCCTGCCTGATTCTCTCGTGTTTGTGCCTCCCGAGCACCACTTAGTCCACGCAGTATTATTGAGCCTAGGATTTTAGATACTATATTAGTCAAGCTAATCCCTCTGTGATTATCACAAGAAGACTTGTCTCCCTTCTTGTATATCGGGATGATCAGTGACTTACACCAACCCGATGGGACTTCCTCTGATTCCCAGACGCTGTCTAGAACCTCAGTTAATGCAGACAGTAAACTGTCTCCACTGTACTTCTGGAGTCATTCCATCAGGTCCCGCTACTTTGCCTTGCTTCAGATTAGTGACTGCTTTAGTAACATCAGTTAAGGACGGAGGACCTGTGTCTATATCCCATTCAGGGAGGTGTTCGATGTTCGGCAGGTTAAGTGTGGCTGTGGGCCAATTAAACTGCTGCTCATAGTGTTCTTTCCAGCGTTCCAGTCGTCTATCCTGGGAGCTAATTATGGTGCCATTTTTCTCCGAGATTGTTTCGCTAACCATTTACCTTTTGCCACCTGTTTCCCTGATAAGCCTGAATAGTTGTCTGGTGTTGCCAATCGCCGATGCCTTTTCCATCTCTTTCGCTTTTGTCGCCCACCACTGTTCACAGTCGTTGCGAAGACTTTTTGTTAGTCTTCGTTTAAGTACCTTTCGCTCCTCACCATAATCGGAGCTCGCTGGAATAAGTTTTCTTCCGTCAATCAGTTCGGATGAGGCGGTAGAGATCCAATGGCTTTTATTAACTTTAGGTTTTAGCTTATTGACAGCTTTCACGGCTGTGTCCACAGCTAACTGTATGTTGTGCCAGGCTACCTCAGGGGAATTCCTGCTGTCGACCTCAGATACTCGTTTCGCTATTTCTTCCTTAAATAAGGACTCAGTGTCTCGATGGGTAAAAAGTACTCCTACTTAACTTCTTAAGGAAAGCCAAATATGTCTCATATCTGACTACGGATCATTCACACATATACGACTAAAGGTTTACTAGCAGTTGATACTTCTTCTGTATTACACAAAACACAGAATTTTCAGAAACTTTTAAACTATATATACCCAAAAGTATTCCCTATCATAAAAAAACCACTTACATTTTATCATGGCGAAGTAAATCATCTACAAGTTGAACCATTTTCCGATAATTGTCTATTATAGGAGGACACTTGGGTCTTTCAGGTGGTGGGACACCAGTACGTAAAAGTTGTCTTTCAATCAATTTAATATCAGTTAAAGCTCTTTCGAAAAGAACTAGATGGTGCTGTTCTTCCATAACTAACTGGTAAGCTATTTGCAAGACTTGAGGATAAGACAATTTCTCGACAGACTTAGGACCGTTACATTGATCAAGAAGATGCATATCATCTGAGGAAATGTTACCTCGAATCAATTCATATATAACAGCAAGCTCCCGTCGACGACTACGTTCTTGTTCATTGTGTTCATCTCTAGCCCGTTTATCTGTACGACCAGATCCGGTATCTTTTGACTCTTTCATTGAACGAAACGATTTATGAGGAGAAGAGACAAGTGAACTTCGTGAACACTTTGTAAAATAAATAGGATCATCGTCTGAATCATAATCTTGAAAAGAAAGAGCCTGAGGTAGCTGTATGCTTAGCTTTCGACGTTCCGATCGAGGAAAGTGCTGTTTACGATGTCGATGTGCTGTTTGATTAGACATTGTGAACTGAAAAAGAACAGAGTTAATCAGTAAGAAGTTAAACATCGCTTTAATTGACATTATATATATATATATATATATATATATATATATAACTTGAAAATTACAACACTTCACGGTGGCGTTTTATCTAACATGACTAAAACTTGAAGATACTTTATTCTGGACAAAATGTCTGCATAATATTTCCCCTCAACCAGGATCATCTTTAAGTAAGATGAAAGTCTATAGTTTACCACATGATGCAAATTCTGTTCGATTTGAAGTATAGACTATAGTCTATCGTGATATATTTCCTTAATCTCCGAGAAATGAGCTGTGACGACTCACTGGTTTAGGCGCTCGATCTTTAATTAATGGGTCACGGATTCTAGCCCTTTTCCAACAATCCAAAGTATCATTAATCCGCATACAATAGATATGGCTGATTGCCAACTTCATGGAATTGTAAGTGGTGGTTAACTTACAAATAAGCGCCTCGCGAACTGGCTAACTAACTAACTGGAAGCTGTTTATGGTACTACAAAAATTGTACAGAGGGGACACTAAACTGTCTTAATTAAGAATATGATTAATAATTATCTCATGTAAGAATGTACTTAATCATTATATTTTTTTAGTCCTGTTACTGCGCCGTCATTCATGTGTTCACAATCGTTTAACGTACTTTATTAATAATAATAATAATTTGCTTTATTCCAAAACAGTACTTGTGATACAGAATGGAATTTTTAGCATTTTTACTACAGTATTGCATCCAGTTAGTACATTATCAATATATAAAATTCTACATAGATTAAGGGTAATCTCAGTTAGTTTTGACAACAACATATTGGCATGTCAGTAGCAAAGCCAAAATTGAAGTGTTTGAAGGTGTTAGAAAAGTAGATGCTAGCATATTTACTGGCATAAGCGGTAACAAAAAGGTCGAGATATACTGAGCGTGACAGAACGAAGCATGTTTTAAATAGAATTTGTGAGGAAGAGAGAAACAAAGCAGCACATGAGAGAAAAAAGGAAAAAAGAAAGAAAACGTTGAACCTATAAATGATATGAGTTGGAAAGATGAAATCCAGCTGTTCTACTGACTATTTAATAAGTTATAGGTATCACGCCTAATGCTTTCGTTATCGCACAGAACACGAGCTAAGTAGGGTATCGTTGAGTTTTTGTACTTGCTGGTGCGAGCATATAGTTTTCTATATAGGCTTCTGGTTTTGCCTGATGAGATGCAAAGGGAGAGTTGTGAGTGAAGAGGGTGGTGTGAGTTAGATAAAATGGATTTGGCCCATTTTCCACATGAGTCCATGTGCCTGTCAACCAGAATATTAACAAGCTGGTTAAGTGGCACGTTGCTTACCCTGCTGACAACCTTTAACATCCTGCGTAATAAGGTATAGTCTTTCTTCAGTAGCCCGGGAAAAACTAAGGGGGAACAATGGAGAATAATAGGCAGAATGCGAGAATTAACGAATTGTAGGAGTAAGGGTTGGGTTATACCAGAATGTCTTAACTTCTTGATGTAGAAGGTAAGACGGAATATTTTCTTAGAAATCGTCAAGATATGAGACAAGCAGGAAAGATCAGCAGCTAGAATGGTGCCTAGGTATTAATTTCCGACTTGGTTTCTATTTCAGTGCCATCTATCTTGCACACCTCGTGAGACCTAGCCAGTTTGTTTAGGTCAGATTTATGCCTAAAGGTAAAATTGACTGTTTGGCATTTGGAGGGGTTTAAGGTAAGACCGTTTTCCTTGGACCACTGGCTGATTTCTGATAGACAGCCATTTAGTTTAGAGCAGTCACTTTGACACTTGGCAGGCAAAGATACAGCATATTTGACAAAATTAATGTCATTTGAAGATGGTAAGTCATGCAGAAAGAAAGAAAAGAGGAGTGGGGAGAGTACGGCACCTTGGGGGACACCAGCTTCAGTGAGCACAGCAAAGGAAGATTTACCTTTGTATACGGTGTACTGCATTCTGTTAGAGAAGTAGGAATGCAACCAGTTAGTGACCCAGGACCCAGTTTGTGTCATAGAGAGCTTATTTAGCAAGAGACATTTAGGTACAGAGTCGAAAGCAGAAGTGAAGTCAAGAAACGTGCAGCGGACGTATTTGGCACCTTTATCTAATGATGAGACGATGTTGTTGTGTAAGACAGCTGCAGCGTCTAATGTACTCCTACCCTGTCTATAGGCAAATTGTTTTGGGTCTTCGAAGTTTTTAAGGGAGGGTTCGAGTTTAAGAAGTATTAGTTTTTCCATAAGCTTAAGGAACGGGGAAGTGATGGCAATGGGTCTGAACTTTACGTTCTTGCCGTTTCCAGGTTTAGGGACAGGGACAATTTTGATGTCTTTCCATGCATCGGGTACGATATTTTTGGAGAAAGAGGCATTTAGGATGTTGGTTAGTGGAGAACACAACACATCTGCACATTGTTTTAGAACATAGGCAGGTATACCATCAGGACCAAGGCTACGTGAGGGCTTGAGTGTTTTAAGACATTTTAGAACATCGAGAGTATTAAAGTCATGAAAGTTATCAGCTACATGATTAGTAACATTAGAAGTAGTTATAGTTAAAATTCGCTATACCCTTTATTCTAAGTAAGCTTTAAGACTACTGTGAAGCTTTGAATTTTAGAAGATTGAGGAGTTTGCACCAACTACGAACAAACAGACCAGCGAGGGCGCTGACAAAACGCAGAGTCTACTGAACACTTTGACCAACAATCTTCGTATGTTTGGCATGCGATTCGCCCCTGTTAAATGTAAGATGATGCTGCAGGATTGGACTTCACCGACCCCCAGATTAGAAACAGGAAGTGAAGTGGTAGAGCACATTGACCGCTTCACTTACTTGGGAAGTACCATCAGCCAGTGCCAACGGATTGATCTCAGACGAAATTTCAGCACGAATACAGAGGGCTAGGTTTGCATACGCCAGTTTTCGCCGTCTCTGGCGTAGACGTGATATCCGACTATCGACCAAAGGACGTGTGTACTGCTCAGCAGTCCGCTCCATCCTCCTTTATGGCTGTGAGACCTGGCCATTGAGAGTGGAAGACATGAAAAGGCTGGTCAGCTGTCTTTGATCATAGGTGTCTGCGTTCTATCTCCCGTGTGAAGTGGTATAATAAGGTGAGCAATATTGAGGTTAGGCTTCGGTCGAGTGCTAGGTAAGGAGGGGAAATCAATCGACGAAACGGTGAAATTACTTCGACTGAGATGGTTAGGACATGTGTTACGTATGCCTAGTCATCGCCTTCCTCGACAATGGACAATGTTAGCTGATATGGGTCAGGCTGGAAAAGATCTAGCGGTGGTCAAACGAAAACATGGCACCAGTCAATGAAATCCACAACAGTTAGTCTAAGCCACATAGGAAGGTGTAGACTTCCTGGTTGGGGTCCTCGAGATGGTAAAAACCAATGGTTGGAAACAATAGGTGATATGGCTCAAAATCGTTCTCAGTGGCGCAGATGCATCCACTCCTTGTGACTTATGATTTCCAATTAAACTGTTTTGTTCTCCGTTATTACTATTCCTTTGTCTCACATCTCTGTTTACTGTCTATATTATACATTTCTTCTACTTTCTTCTCTTGCTTTGTGTGCTACATGGATTGTGGCGACTTGAACTGCCGCACATATGTGCAAAGTTCTATGTCGAAAACCGACCAACCGACCGACCAGCGTGTTTACCTAGGAGGAAGGACTATATCATCCACATAGATCTAAGTCAATGAGACTAGTATTCCCTGGTGGTAACAAGTAAATCCCTGAGTCTCTGAAGTGAGTTAGGGTTAATTCTATTAGTACGTCTGTGATGAAATTAAACAGAAATGGTGGGCATCCGTGATGGACGCCATTAGTTGTCACCATTAGTGGTGTTCATCACGGTGAGGTGCGGAAAATATATTCACGAAATACTTGTTTGAATTTATTAGAAATAAATTTGTAAGTCATCTGCGTATAGGACCATAGGGAAGTCGGTGAGCGGAGATAACTATTTTGTATATCAGTGAGTTATCTCCGCTCACCGACTTGCCTATGGTCCTATACGCAGATGACTTAAAAATTTGGAGAGAGCTGAAGGGCAACAGTGACACGACCACGTTGCAAGAGGACCTTAACAAATTGTCAGAGTGCTCCATAGAATGGATATCCCGATAAATGTGGCAAAATGTGCAACCATGCGCATTGGACAAGCAAGAACGAGCTCCTACGAACTAGAGGGTATAACACTTCCATCAGTTCAGACTCACTTGGACTCAAGTGTCATAGTTAGCCACGACTTAAAAACTACAGCACACTGTCGCGCGGTGGCTGCACGTAGTTTCAGGTCATTATGGGCAATTCGTAGAGCCTTCACTAGAATCACCAGAGCTATGTTCACCTCCTCATATATACATCTCTGGTGAGGTCAAGACTGGAAAACTGCATCCAGGCCGCCAGCCCTTGTCTAAAAGGGGACTCACACATTCTAGAAAGGCTTCAAAGGAAGGCAACACGTATGGTTCTCGGAATGACTAATTTATCATACGAGGAAAGACTAGACGGTTTAAATCTCTTCTCCTTGCCATACCGTAGGCAGAGAGGTGATTTAATCACACTGTTTAAAATTTTAAATAATGACTACGGACCTGACCTATTCTCTTTTTTCCTTCCCACCAGGTTGGAACACCTTAGAGGATATAGCAGGAGAGTTCAAAAGCCAAGAAGAAATCATACTGCTGTTGAGTACTGGTTCTCACACAGAGGCATAAACTCTTGGAACCGACTCTCAGAAGAAGTGGTGTCTGCAACCTTAACCGATTCATTCAAGAAGGGTTTGGACAACCACAGAAATTTACTAGAAAAGGATTAACATAGGCTCCAAGTCTTCTATCCTCAACCAATAAATCTGAATCTGAAATCTAAGTGTAACTGATGGTCACTAAACATTCGATTTGAATAGCTTCTGCCTTATTTTGTTTATTCATTAAAGTAACTGCAACCCGAAGAGTGTTTCTATTTATTATTTCTGTTGTTGTGATTACATACCCCTTAGGTCAGTTAGTCAGTCTGCCTCATTCTGCATATAAATCCTTCAACATAATTGTTTAACTTAATTTTGAAATATTTTGCATAAACTTTTTAAATAATAAAGAGGAATTTCCATGTACATTTTTACAGGTTAATCTTAGAAGTTTGTCAGCCTGTTCAACTCAGAACAATAGAATTGGCAAATTTTGAATTGTTCTCATCTCGATTGAAGTCTTTCAGAGTTTCTGCTAGTGATCGGTAAGTGAATTTCCGAATAGAAAAATCAAAATCCAATAGTTTTTTTAAAAATTATTATACTGTTTCTTTAGAATACTCATCTGTTTTATTTCAATCAGTTATTATGACGGACTACAAATTGGTATGGATTGAAAGATTGTTAAACTTGAAGGGTTTAGTAGTACTAGTTGAGTAGTGGTAGTAGTAGTATGTGGTGATGAACTTCTGGTTCAAGTTTAACAGTCGACTATACTGATCTTAATCAACCCATTCAATCAAATCAATATGACCCGTTGCACAAAAGGTGGCTCTCGTGGCCCATGTGGTTTAGTAGAGGACGCTTTGGCGTTTGAAACTATGGCCACTGGGTTCGAGCCTCGGTGGGAACATCACTCACTGTGAAATGCAGGCACATCCATATGACGAGTCCCAAATGGGACGAAATGCGCATCCTGGATTCCACTGCTAGTCGCTATCCACCAATTACATTCAGTTCTTTGTCTGTTTTTATTCAAAGCTGTATTTTGAGTACTACACTAGACGACGGGTGTTAATATTCAATAACTTTCTTCCTGTCGTCATTCATGTTACTTTAAATTAAATTTAAATTTTTGATTACAGCTTGATGCCACACTGTATTTTTAGTACAAGTATGGCATTTTCAGCATGGATATCGGTAGTCCAAATTTTGCAGGCCGACCATAGACATCGGGTGTGCGTCGGCAGGTGATCGAACCCCGGACCATGTGCATGGTCGGCGAGAGTCCTAATCACTGTGCCACCGACGCACTGTATTGATCAAGGGGGAGGTTGACATGCTTCGATCGACATGATAAATCTGCAGTAGACAAGCAAACAGATATAACCTTAATGTTGGTTTAGCATAGTCTGGAAGCCTTAATGAATATGCGACCTATTTCCACAGCAATCTCGCGCATATGAAAATACATGAATATTTAGTAAAAAACTAGCAATATTGCTTATGCATAAGATGATTAGTGGAGGGTAGCTACCAGGAACAATGACGAATTACAACCTACACATATGTATATAACTGCGTGTTTAGTAGATGAAACCATTAGAAATTCTTATGTTGACCCAATTTAAGCATTCAATGATATTTCACGTTTTGAGATGCAGTCTGAGAAAGTGTTCGAAGGAGTGATTATATATCGGTTTTCTTGCCGAATGCCCCGTAATCACCCAACAATTTTAGCTTAAAATTCACCACAAGTTTAGTAATATTTGGATTTAAATTATTTTATGCTATATACATAACAAGTCAAAGATAGAACTGTGGCGCGATTAACAAGAAACTATATAAGCAAATAGGTTCATACAGTTTAAAAAATTGTAAGCAATGAAACAAACTTAGTTCTTACAAATTCATAAGTACCGCAAAACGTGTTTGACTTGAAAAGACCGGTTGTAACGCAGTTCAGATGACATGTCCAATACTGTTGGTCTGTAAGATGGAGTAGAGATGATCTGTGAAAAACTAAAATTTTGTCCCCCAGTCAATAATATTACCAATAAATATACATTGTATCCAGTGACTTAGGAGGAAAGGAGGATATGAAATTATTTTTATAACTTATGAAGCTAGTTGGACAGAAGTAACAAAATTTTCCTATCAAGTAAATAAAGTATGTTTCAGAATGGTCTTTATGGGAAAGTTTCATGTATTCTGCGTTTGTTTCTCAATTTCATGATCACTTGCACTCAACTTGTTGGAGATATTAGAGCATTTGCTGTGCACCCTAGACGGAAACAAAGCAAACCTGAAGTATAAATGAGTATATCAAACTGAATAAACTTGACATTAAATAAATAAACATCTAGCGAGTTAACGGGTTCTTCGAGCGTTGGATAAATTAAAGTCGTATTCTGTTTAAATGCACTGCTCATGATAACACAGTTTTAAATAGATGAGTCTTTCTGATTTGTGTTTTCTTGTCAGTACTTGCGTAGAGGAAATGTAGGTTTTCTAAGACACAGTATGCTGTAGCCATTATGATCTAGCTGGTGATTGAGGAATTCGCAATGGTGAGATGATCAACCAAGTGGGAACTATGCCTTGCTCGTGACTTTTAGGGCTTTCTTAATCTGCTGAGTGATGAATGCCCTTCGGTATGTTCAACATGGTTTTTCACTCAACATGACTACCACGTGCTTCCAGAGAATAGATGTTCAAAATCAGGATTAATTTCCTACAACAATATAAACTACCGTTCGGTAACCTAAATGATTATTTTGACCAAAAAATCAGTTCCTAAGTTTGGGAACCTGTTAAGTGTCATATTTCTCGTCTTTTCTTCCTATATTTGACCATAACTTATGAATTCTTTTATTTTTTTCGTTTTAAGATCATACAGATGTGTAGGTAAATCACATAACTTAAACTGGTGACCTACCTAAACTTCGGAGTATGTCTCATCAGCCTACATTTTACCGTTCCTTGCTCCTATGTTCTTGTTTTGATAAGTCACAAATGTGTCAACACATAATAATACATTCTCATGTTTTTACATGAGATACGCCAGTCTGTGGTGAGAGCTGTCTGCTTTCTAAAACTGGTAGAGAGCGATTTAAGCCAATGTTCACTTCCGAAATCTCGGTCATGAGAAGAACAAGGAGAAGGTCTTTGCTTGAGCAGATACGATTCTCAGATATATGGTCTGACTTTCAAAGAAACGGCCACAAAGAGATGACAGATTAACTTTTAGCTAGAAAACAACCAGTTAGAAGATGCTTTTTCTCTGTTAATAATTACGAATCATAATGTTCATAAAAATCTATAAATATCTGTTGATTTCCCCAATAAACGATCTGTTGCCTGGTCCTTGTCTTCTATCGTTACAAGTGTACAGGCGTCATCAAAGTGATAAGTTACATATATGCTTAGTGAGCATATTTGATAATAATAATAATAAAATACATATTTATTCCTGTCTGTATAAGACACACTAGCTTTACAGGCATTGATAGGTATTATTTAAATAAAATAGACTTTGTTTATGGTGAATTTACATAGTTGCTGTCTTTTTTGTCTCTTGTCTGTGGGAACAATCTGCTAACTAGTCATTCAGTGGAGTAGATCAAGAAATATAGAAATACTGTCTTCGCATTAATGAAAAACCCAGGTATGTGTTGGATGGATTCCAAATACTTAGGAAAAAATAAAGCTCGAAGTGATTTCCCTAATATAACTATGATGTGTACGGCATTGAATCTTATTCTTGATTTATATCTAAATTGAGTATTAATTTAAAATGAGTGATTTATTTGAATAATTTTGTCGACATTTTCATCGTAAGTAATACCAGAAGTGAACTGTACTCAATGCAGACTAACAATTACAATTTGTATATTCTTAAAAACTGGTGTTTACAAGAAATATAAGTCATTTTCACGAGCACGTCAGTCATGTTATAAATTACAATCGTGAAGTATTGTTAATTAATAATTTTTCATTGAAACAAAAGTATATTCCACAAATGTAATCCAGAATGCGTCGTGAGGGAAGGCAATAGGTAATTGACGAAGCAGTTGTAAGATATGGGACCAGTAATGTTTTCAGATCATGTCATTGTAAGTGGCCAAATGCCAACATTATTTATCCTCGTTCAGAAAGACGTATAGAAGCTACACTCGTCAGAGAAAAAAGAGGACAAACGGCAGCATCATAAAAGAAAGCAAATGGATTCCTCGAAGAATAATTTATATATATATGTACTACTGGGATTAACATTTATCAAGTGTATGTATAATCTCCAGCGAACATGTAAAGCATATCTTGCTACTGCCTGTAAATTGTGATTGAATTATATGGTTCTATTTCTGTAACAATTTGATGATGCCTGTAAACTGGCGTCCCACATGTACTATGAGAATAAATTTATTTATTTATTTATTTAGAAGTCAGACTCAGGAGTCTGGTGCCTGAGGAGATGAACACTGGAAGTGTGTTCGCATCACGCACATTGGCTGGTAGTCTATTTCAAATGACTGCAAACTTATGTAAGAAGAAGTTGTACTGCATATAAGTCTGACAATGCTGCATAGCGACTAGGTTGTCATGATTTCTAAGATGACGGTGGTAAATTTAGTTACTGGCCTAGAGGAGTGCGAGAGAAGATTAGTTAGCTTGTAGTATAAAATAGGCTTAGCTAAGGACGTCTCTTTCAGAGTGGTTCTATTTTCATTCTGTCACAACGCTCAGAGTAGTTCAGACTGCATTCTAAACCAATAGTTCTTGGGGTTAATTACCTTTGCACTCTCTCTAATTTAAGCTTGTTATTCTGTCGGAGTCCGTTAGGAATGAACGAGCAGTATTGTAATATTGGTCGGACACATAGTTCGTGTAATAAAACGTTGTTTTACAACAAAGGAACGTTAAATTATTAGAGTATACCCAGATTTATGACTGAGGTGAGCTTGGCTAGTTTTCGCTCATTTACATCAACAGTTAGGTCAAGGTTACTGTTGCTAATACAGCGTTGTTCACTCCGGATATATGGCGAATATACAATGTATACAATGAAACGTAGTTCAGTTGATGTGATTATCTAGGTGAATACTTATCTGAAGTTGAGTTCAGAGAGTCCGTCAGAGGTTTGTGGTCAGTGAAAATGACAAATTCACGACCCTCCACTGAATGTGGAAAATGACGCATAGCACAGTACACAGCCAGAAGTTCTTTGCCGAATGTGCTGTACCTCGTTTCTGCTAATTGAAGGCGCCGCTTGGAAAGGAGGGTGGTTGCCACTCTCTGTTAACTAATTGCTGCAGAACTGCGCCGATTGCAGTGTCTGATGCATCAACCGAGAAATTCAACGGTGCCACTGGATGCTGATATATTAGAAGTGTGGCATCCGCAATAGCTTTCTTAACCTCAGTGAAAGCATTTTGAGCAGACGCGTCAAGTTTGGTGGACTTGTTATTCCCTCGACGAAGGTCTGTTGATGGCTGAATCAGAGAAGTACAGTTGGGAATAAATCGTCGGTAATAACTTACCAAGCCGTTAAAAGTGCGCAGACTTTTAACTATCTGTGGCTCGTGAAATTTCAGTATCGCCATAACTTTACTAGCCGGTGGGCGGATGCCCTTGCAGGCAGTGGTGTGGCCTAGAAAGTCGAGTGATTCGATGCGTATCTGACACTTGAATATTAATGGTTACACCATGTAGGCATAACCTTTCAAATACCAAATCCAAGTGTCTAAGGTGAGTTTCCTTGTCTGGACCGGCAATGATGCAGTCGTCTAAGTATGCGTATACAAAGTCGAGACCGCGAAATACTTCGTCGATGAAGCGCTGGAATGTTTGTGCTGCATCCTGGATGCCGAATGGCATACGTAGAAATTCAAAAAGTCCGAAAGACGTAATTGTAGCCGTTTTTGGAATATCTTCTGTTGCGATCGGGATTTGGTCACACGCTTTAACCAAGTCTTTTTTCAAGAATATTGTTGCACCAGATAATGTTGCCGTTAAATCGTGTATGTGAGTCAATGGGTAACAATCAGAACTCCACCAACCACTGGAACAAGATAGATTTGGGAAAGACAGATCATTTGCTGATCAAATTACAGCTCTGTGCATTACTATCATCATGGAACATAGCACAGAGTGGCAGCCAAACTACTACCTCAAATTTATCGACTTCCGAAAGGCCTTCGACAATGTTGACAATGATGTAATTTGGAAACTAACTCAACATTATGGCGTACCTCAAGTCTTTGTCAACCTCATTCACAAGCTGGCTAAATGACAATGTCACGTGTAAAGTGATCCACAAAGGAAAACTTAGGGAGGTGTTCGAAGTGAATGCCGGAGCAGCTTTAGGTTACCCGTCTATTATCACTCATGATGATATTCCTAATTGTGGTGTATTGGATCATGCATCAGACCGTGCATCGGGAAGGAAGAGACAGGAATACGCTGGACCACGATAAAGAGACCCTAGGAGATTTGTATTTCTCAGATGATGTGTCTCATGTCACACGAACTCGAATACCTACAAGTGCATTTCCAACACAAATGTTAAGTCAGTCAATTCTTCTAATGGGGTAGAAACTTGACCATTATGTCACGAAAGCGTTTCCAACAGGTCACTGAAGGCTCTTACCAACAGCAAACTATACTATATATTAAAGATAAAATGGACAACCAGGAAGATAAATTAGCCAAATGGGCTAACCTTTGAAGTCTGGAAACTAATTTCAAGAAAAGCGCGATAATTCACCTGTTAATCGCGACAGATAGATAGACTGTATGACAGACAGCCAATCAATATGATTTGACCTTTTTGTCATGATTATTGGTTAATTTGATGTAAACTTACAACACGCGATGTGACCTTGAGTGTTCTTTGTTTTCTATCACTTTATTTGTGTGTACATGCAGTTAATTAACTGTTCATTCTGTCCGTTCCCTCAATACTGTTAGGTATGTTTTTGTCTTTTCTTGAGTGACAATGGGTTTATATATTTTTCTTGGTGTAATTGTATGATTTATTTTATGTTTTAGAAACAGATAAAGTTTAAGTCAAGTCCCTCTGTTTTAACTATAGTTAAGCCAAGACTCTATATCCAAGGACTAAATTTGTAGGCAAAATTAATCCTACATCACCTAGGTCACAATTCTTACACGCCGTACTCCATGGGGGACACAGAACTGCCAGATGTTACGTGACAAAAGGACCTAGGAATTGAGAAGAATAAGAAGTTCAGCGAAGATATCTTTTCGGTGATTTCCAGACCTAGGAATTATTGTAAGCCATGACAAAAAAACAACGGTAAACTGTAATCGAGCCGCAGCTAAGGCTTTTCGAATGCTATGGGCAATTCGAAGTGCTTTCAATCGATTAGATGAGGGTATGTCCCAAGTACTCAATGCAACGTATGTCAGACCTCATCGAGAATACCGCATACGAGCGGCAAGTCCATGCTTCAGAAAGGAAGCACGTATCCTGGAAAGAGAACAGATGGTAGGAACGAAATTAGTTAGTGATATCTCACACCTTCCTTATGACATGAGGATGGAGCATTCAAATCTCTTCCCATTATCATACTGAAGGAGAATCAACATAATTTTGGCTTACCGTATATTGAAGGGTGATGTAGGGATTGACCTTTCAAACCTTTTCTCTCCCTCTAGGATACATTTACGAGGTCACCACAAGAAGGTGCTCAAACCGAGGTCGAATAAAATACGTTTGGAGTTTAGATTCTCTCACAGAGTGGTCAACGACTGGAACTGCATACCTGATTCAGGAGTAACAGCTGCATTGGTGAATGCTTCCAAAGAGGAACTGGATCCCTGCAGAGATATATATCGCGAGGATTAACGTAGGCAACAAGAGCATTCTATCCTTATAATCTGAATCTGAAGCTGAAACTCTGGCAACAAGCTATAAAAACTCGGACTTCTATATAAGGTATCTCTTTCCAAAACTGAAAATTTAACATTTTTGTAGTACCATAGCCTGGAAATGTGAAGATATGATGTAGTCAAATTTAAGTTTTAGTAAGCTTTTTAAGTAATCTCCTTTGTGACCTTGAACAATTCAATTTTCCCGCATTACGGATGATAGATGGGAGGTTTTTGCGTCATTTTGTGGTTTGTTCATGAATTTCTACTTTATCAAGGTATCCTTCTAGTTTTTTACTTATCCATTCCCAACTTATTGTTGTTAACGTGGCTCTTAAGAGTCGTAATCAGCCAGAGGATGATGACATAGCACGCAGTGTCCCGTAAGTCGTCATTTATATAACTTTAATTCACTGACAGGTCAAAGTCACATCACGAAGTCATTGTTAATGGGTAGGTTTCTTGATACTTATCTTTATGCTTACCTTTGCTTTCAGCTCCATCGAAGATGTACCCAGATCTAGTGAGTCGGAAGTAAGTCTAATAAGATGCTATATAACTTATTCGGTTCTTGAAGAATATTTTAACGCCTAGCTTTTTGCTTATATTTTAACGTCCGTTATCAGTTTTTAGGTGCTTTGCCTACACATTAATCAAAGCGGTAATGAATGTCGATTGTTTAATGTGGTCTTAAGTGCTATAGGTGTACTACTTGCCTTTATTGAGTTCACTTTAGTATTGTTTTTTACTCATTTTGACTCATTAAAATCAGCAGTATGATACTAAATAGATATTAGGGTTAGGTGGTTAGAGTTATGTACAAACTTCAGTAGAATCTCGTGATTTCTAACCATATATTGTTACATAACCGATAGACCAAACCGAGTCAGTGGTACTGAAGATTTATTATGTGTGATATATCATCTGTGAAACACACGAACACTTCGAAAATTCTGACGAAAATGTCTTTAATTCCTTTTCCATGCTGTGTCACACCTATGTTGCTCTCCATATGCACTGATTTCATGATAACTGGGTTGGAACGATGATCACCGGGTGGTGAAATTGTCCCACAATATAGTCAAGTTAGTATTTATTAAGTTGGTAGGGTTAGAGAATAATAGACGCTATCAAGAACAGTAATTATATAATAATTATGAATTAACTTAACCAATCTGAATGAAATGTCTGAATTCTTTAATTTATTAACAATTTTTGCATTTAAATATACAGACTGCCTGATTTACACGGGATGTTCCTCTTTTATGTAATGTAACAAAGTTCCCCCATTTCTCATAGAGGAGTCATTTTAAAAATTGAATCCGATTCCGTACGCAATAGATGCATGGCTTTAATAGTTAATGCAACAAGGGAGGTGAGCATAGGCGTTATTTTGAGATCTGTCATTGTATGGGAATTTTGTTTGTCACACCTCACATATACAAGTTTGGTCATATGCAGGAACTAGAGGGAAGATAATGGTTGTCTGATCAAGACATCAGTCTATAAATTCTGATTTCACTTGTGGCATGGAGAGGTATAAGCCGTCATTTCGTCTTCAGCTAGATGTGCTGGTCCAGTAGCACCTCATTACTTTTATTTCTCTGTTCCCTTTGTGGGTGTCCTCATGCTAGTGTGAAGTGTAGTTATTTGAAAAAAGGATACAAAATGTCTGTGGCAAAAACTCTGAGTTTGTAATATCACATTGTCCACATAGATTGAAGGCATATTTCAACAGAGGGCAGAGACATCAATGATGGATAGTTTTGGATTACTTCTTAGTTTAAGAAAATGAAGCGAATCAGTTTCATAATCTACGATGCCTAGCAATTTCCCGAACCTATTTAAGTAGGGTCAACCCTTGTCCTGAGACGCATTTGTTGAAATCTAAATATTTAAACCAATTAAGCACACCTCTTGACTTAGTAGTCATTGAGTTCCCAAAGTGATAAGCCTTTTTGAACAAGTTATGCATATTGAAGCATTCTAAAACATTAATTGTTTGAAAAATTTTGTGCATTCTTGTTTTCATTGCAACTATCTTAATCGCTTATAATATTATTCAGACACCTAATGTTACACCGGATATTAAAGAGATGCATGTCAATCAGCCAGTCATTCCTGAGCCATTGGTTTCTTTAGACAGTCAGAAGTCTACAGACAAGGTTACTTCAGACGGATCCAAATCTTCTACTAATTTGCAAGAACCAGTCAAATCTGTTCATGAAGATGTTAAAGGATCAATATTGACGGAACTACCATCATTGGATTCGGTAGCTGCAGAGAGCATTAATACCCATGAAATTCCAACTTTCAATGAGTTTCATGCTATGGTTTCTGAAGGAGCTCAGCCTCGCAAAAGTCAAGGTTCGTTTAATGGTATTGCATTCTAGTTATATGGCTTCCTTAGCTTTCTGCTTTATTATCCACCAGTTATTTGAAATCTCTTCAGTATATTTTCAGTACCCAATGAATTCGATGTGATATTGTTTCTGTTTAGGATTGAAAACGTTTCCTTTGTTTATTCAGTTTGAATATAGTACAGGCAGTGGAAATTTCCATATGCTCATTGAAAAAAAAACAACAACTGCAAATCAACTAGGCTGTCGTCACTAGCTATGGGGGTCAGCCGTCAGGTATGCCCACTAGCAGGAGCAGATTTCATGCAAAACATTCGAAGATCGCTTATCCTCAAGGTGTTCGGAAGACTCTGCTGAATGTTGTCAGAGTGTCCAACTAGGCGGGAGGACTATATCATCTGCATATTCTTAGTCAACGAGATTATTCCCTGGTTACAAGTCAATCCCTGAGTCACTGAAGTCAGTTAGGGTGAATTCCGCTAGTACATCTATGGTGGAATTGAATAGAAATGGGGATAGGGGCCACCCCTGACGGATTATTAGTGACAGTTCTCCTTAACAGACACTTAGACAAATTCGCTTACACTACACGATTTTACGTGTCATCCTTGCGCAAATCGTCCTTATAGGAATGCCATCTTCGCTTTCAATAAAACGTTTCCTTTAACAGCTAAAAGGTGTAGGCAAGATCGATTGCCTTGCTCTTAGGATCTGTATATCTCCTAATTCTTTCATACTTAAATGAGGAAGAAAATTGATTTCAACTATGACCATTTAAAAGGGTAATATACTAATGACATCATACAGCAGTTAATCTCTCTCGTCCTCAGAACCCGCTTGCCATAGGACAGATTTAAATCAGAAGGCTATCACTGTCTCACGGCAAGAGGGTGAGCACAACTAGTAGCAACTTCTGTACAACTTTTCTGTTGTATTCCATTCATTATTTATTTCTTTAAAATTTTATAAGTTTGTGAACTCTAAAACAGCATATATATATATATATATATAATTACCCTACTCTATATTCCTTTACATACATTTACTTAACTACAGAAGTTGGCGAAGACAGTGTGCCTAAATCCGAATATGTTCTAGACGCCAAGGAGAGCATCAAAAATACATTGGATCCTCAAACATCAGACAAAGCATCGCAAGCACATATCGATACTAATCCTTCAGTCAAAACCTTAAAAGGTCATGGCATCAAAGAAGCACTAGATGGCACAGTTGCAACAGACAGTAGCAATATACCTTCAAATAGTGTAAAGACTGATTCACACTTAGAACAACAATATCAATCGTTGAAGGGAAGCTCAGATTCAGTGCCTGACGATGACAAAAATTCAAAGGGGAATTCTCCTGTTACTCCTGAACCGATAGCCACCAGGACAACAGTTCACACACCGAACAAAGGTGATGTAACCCTGAGAAGAAATGTTGCTTCTATAGCTTGTGGTGCAAAAATGTTAGGTTCTAGTAAAGCTATTAAAAATTCAGAGGCTGTACTTAATGAGAATAATGATGAATACATGAATGTGCCGTGTAGTGAAGAGAAGTGGTGAGTAAATTGCTGTTCTTGCTCAGTGTATATTTCATTTTTGACTGCATTTAGTTGTTACTTTATATCTGTGAGATACAGGGTTCACTACTAGATATTTAAATACAGTTAACTCTGAAGCATTGTCCCTGAAAGGCACTTCACTCTCAGAAGTTATTTTACAGCATTCTGTGTAGCCCTGCTGTTGAGCACTGACGCCTGTCTATTATATTTGCAGAATAGGTATATGCGAATTCATTTAACCTTACCAAGACAGGCGTTTTACATTCCTAATATTCTGGTAGCCAATAATCAACCTTCTTTTAGTTTTTCAGTTGTAGGCATAGTATTAAGTCCTGAGTCATAAACACATACACAGTTCGGGTTGCTTTATTAAATCTTTGGTTCATTCATGTGGCATAGCGGATAGGACGCTCGCCGACTATGCACATGGTCCGGGGTTCGATCCCCTGCCGACGCACACCTGATATCTATGGTCGGCCTGCAAAATTTGGGCTACCGATATCACATGCTGAAAATTCCATACTTGTACCAAAAATACGGTGTGGAATCAAGCTGTAATCACAAATAAAAAAATAAAAAATGTGTACACTGTTTGATTAAGTGGTACTTTTAAAATTAAAAAGGGTGGATAACAAATATCGGTAACTTTTCGTTGTTTGTGTCTCAAACTCGAACTGCTGCACATCTGTGTAAGGTTCTATGTTGAAGCCAGTTAATCAGAAGATATCACTTACATGCATCTTAGTAGATCGATAAATATTTATAGATTCAGATTCTGTAGGTTTTAACGAATCAAATTTCTCCTTTTATTAATATTATTCATACTACAGAGCTTTGCCAGATTAAAGGTTACTTTTTTCTTCTTCCTTATATAATCTTATGAAACCTACCATGGATTTGCTCTTACCGCGAAAATGGATACTATTTTAGCAATAATAATCATATCTATTTATGACAGCTACGATTAATCCTTCGTTAAGTTTCAGAATAATAATCATAATAACAATAATTATTTCAGATCTGTAACTTCGTTGTCTCAGGGCGATGAGTTGTTGCGAAGTCATAATGCCCTCTTTTGTTTTGGACCTGAATTACTGAATTGGTCGACAATATCAACTGATTTAGCCTTCAGCCGTCTTTGTTTTTTTTGAAGGAAGAGGTAGGAACTAGGCGAATGAATAGATCATGGAGATATTCAAACTGATCATCGATGGTTAAGTGAGAAATGCCTTTTGACGAGTTAAAAATTGTCGGATCCAAGAAAGCGTGCCTCTTTCTCTTGTATTAACAAATTGATAGGAGATAAATTCTGACTTACTGACTGGTTTCAAAATGGAATTCTGCACAGATATGCTGCAGTTTAAATCGCCACACTCCCTCTTTGAAACACACAAAACAAGAGAAGAGACATTGATCAACAGATAGATAATGAACAGAAGTGTGAGTGAGACAAAAAGAATAGTTGTGTGGAAGAACAACCAGTCAGGCAGTCTACACCCCCTAACTTAGTTGTCTTAAAGCAGCTGTTATGAATTTGACTAACTGATGAAGCCATGTTTTGGTGTGACCACACTAGCTCCTTCCCGACCTGATTCTATGTCTGTCAGCTAAAATTATCCGTCGTCGAGGAAGGCAGTGTTTTGGTGTGCATGCGTAACACATGTCCTAACCATCTCTCTCAATCGATGTAACTTTACAACCTCGTTGATTTGATTTCGCCTCCTCACCTAGCACTCGACCGAGGCCTAATCTCCATATTACCCACCATAGCAAACCACTTAAAATGGGCGATGGAACGCAAACATCTATCATCAAAGACAGCTATCCTTTCCATGTCTTCCACTTTCAATGGCCATTTCTCACCATCAGCCATAAAGGAGGATGGAGCGTACTTCTGAGCAATATACGCGTCCTTTGATCGGTAATCAACCTGGTATCACGTCTAGTAAGGCAAAGATGGTGTGAGTTGGCATATACCAAACGAGCCTTCTGTATCCATTCTGAGATTCCATCAGCTGTCACTCCTCTACAAGGAGCTGATGCAAATTCCCACAAAATAAGTGAAGTGGTTAACACGCTCAGCCACCACTTCACCCCTTATCTGCAAGGCAGCTAGGAGTCAATGTAGTCCAGTCCTGTAGCCTCATCATCTTACATTTGACAACAGGAGCGAATCGCATTTCAAACATTAGAAGATCACTGCTCCTCATGGTATTCAGAAGACTGCTGTATTATGTCAGCGTCTTCACCTAGGAGGAAGGACTATATCATGTGCATATTCTATGTCAACGAGACTATTATTCCCTGATGGTAACAAGCCAATCCGCCAGTCTCTGAAGTGAGTTAGAGTTAAGTCCATTAGTACATCTATGATGAAATCGAACACAAATGGGGACAGTAATGGTGGGCATCCGTGACGAACATCTCTGATTGTCAACAATTCAGATGACAACTCCCCGTAGGCTCTCATCTGGCTGACGGCATGAGTTCACGTAAAGTGAGTGCCTTGATTAGTGCAGTGTATGTTCTCGACATTCTCTTCACAGTCAAACATCGCCATAGTATCTCTCAGCCTACACAATCGAATGCGGCTTTCAGGTCAAGAAGTGTGACAGTTGTTGGACGCGAGTTAGTGGTATGCCTATGTTCCAGAATCTGTCGAAGAGTGAAGATATGATGCTTTATTAGATATGATAGATCTTCACTAGACATTCAAACAGATGTCGCCTTATCAGTTTCTTTTTTTGGATTATTTTAACTCCGTAACTTTTTAAGTCTGATTGAGAAATGGAGCTTACGTCGTACTTTTTGAGGTGAGGAGAATAAATTCACGAAATACTTGTCTGAATTTACTAAAAATAAGTGTTACTGATGGTCATTAAACATTCGATTTGAATAGCTTTTGCCTAATTTTGTTTATTCAATTAAGTAACTGTAACCCAAAGAGTGTTACTATTTTGTTGTTGTGATTACATATCCCTTAAGTCAGTCAGTCAGTCTATCTCATTCTGCATATAAATCCTTCAACATAATTGTTTAACTTAATTTTGAAATACTTTGCATAAACTTCTTATATAATAAAGAGAAATTTCCATACACATTTTTTTACAGGTTAATCTTAGAAGTTTGTCAGCCTGTTCAACTTAGAACAATAGAATTGGCAAATTTTGAATTGTTCTCATCTCGATTGAAGTCTTTCAGAGTTTCTGCTAGTGATCGGTAAGCTAATTTCAGAATCAAAATCAAAATCCAATAGTTTTTTTTTATTGAACTGTTACTTTAGAATATTCATCTGTTTTATTTCAATCAGTTATTATGACGGACTACAAATTGGTATGGATTGAAAGATTGTTAAACTTAAAGGGTTGAGTATTATTATTACTGTTTCCTTTAATTCCTAGAGGAACATAGGGTTTCAGCCATGCGTCTCCATTGCGTTTGGTTCTCTGCTAGAGTCTTCACCTGGCTCCAGGTCTGCTCACACGTTTTCATCTCCTCACATGACCTCCTTCAAGTCATCTTTGGACGACCAACTCGCCGCTTTCCTTTTTGCGTTCCACTCGAGCAATGGCTTGTCTAGTGATGTCACTTGATGGTTTTCTCAGAGTATGGCCAATCCATCTCCACTTATTCCTGCCTATTTGTTTCACAATTGGTTCCTGGTTGGTTCGCTCCCAGAGATCCCTCCCTGTTGCTGATCTTTTCTGGCCATCTGATCATGAGTATTGAGCGAAGACAACTGTTAATGAAGGTCTGTAGTTTGTTTGAGATGTTCTTTATGACGCGCCAAGTAGTCTCTGATCCGTATAGTAGCACTGACTTCACATTGGAGTTGAAAATCCGGATGTTATTTTTTCTGCTGAGTGGTGCTGTTGACCTCCACACAGACTTGAGAGTAGTGAAAGCTTGTCTTGCTTTTCCGATTCTTGCTTTGATATCCTCGTCAGTTCCACCCGCCTGTAGTTGAAACGATGCTTCCCAGGTAGGTAAAGGAGGTTGTTTCTTTCAGGTTCCTTCCAATTATGCTGATTGTTGTCTGTTGTTGTTGCTGTTGGTGGTGTTGCCCAGGAATGTTCATCACCCCTGTTTTCTCTATGTTCACCTGAACTCCTATCTTCTCTGGATGCTTCTTCTGCCAACTTGTTGCTTTTCGCTTGCATATCTTCCAGTTTGTGGGCAATCAGACATATATCAGGCAGTAGTAGTAGTATGTGGTTATGAACTTCTGGTTCAAGTTTAACAGTCGACTATACTGATCCTTATCAAACCATTCATTTCTTTGTTTTGTTTTTCTTTTCTAAACTGTATTTTGGGTACTACACTAGACGACAGGTGTTAATATTCAATAACTTTCTTCCTGTTGTCATTCATGTTACTGTAATGATCAAGGGGGAGTTTGATGTGCTTCGATCGATATGTGATAAATCTTCAGTAGACATGCAGACGGATATCACCTTATTGTTTGTTTTGATTACTTCAGCTTCATAAAATGTTTTAAGGCAAAGTTAAAGTTTCATTGCCAAAAGCAAGGTCTTTCAGAGGTTGACCTTCAAGAACTAATCATATACAGGGAATGCTATGAAATGACATTCTAAATAAAGTTATGCCTGCCTTTTTGAACTTCTTTACTAGGTTCTTTTTCTGCAATTTTATACTGTTAGTTAGGTTGATGGCTTTTTAAGATTAAGGTTTAGGGCTTAAGTCAGGATTAGGAGTTAGGATTATGGTCATGCCATGCGTCGGTGGCATAGCGGTTAGGACGCTTGCCGACCATGCACATGGTCCGGGGTTCGATCCCCGGCCACAGAAGCACTCCTTTACCTCACTACGCCAGAAATAATGCTGGTGAAGAGGAAAGGTTGGGTATGAGGCTAGCAACCCCATCCTGTAAAATAAACACTGCTACAATAACTTCAAGCCACAAGCTTGAAGGAAAAAAAAATTATGGTTAGAGTTAGGTGTAGGTTGAAGAATAGTATCAGAAATATCAATAAATCTCAAATTACCATGACCTTCAGTCACCAGGATGAATGGATATATCGCGCATGGTGTGATGATTTCTCTATAGATCATCTGTGTAGTGACTGGGAGACATTTTTACAACACACATAAGCCACCGCTATACAGTGTAATATCATGTTTGCAATATATCTTTTAGTGTATTTTTCAACGATTATGTGATTTTTTTGCTTCTGAATTGTGATTGATTGTTCAACGTCACTGTAGTTTTGACTATGATAGTTCCAGTTTGTCCTTTCTAAGCCTAATTGATAAATGAAGGAGCTATTGTTGTGCTTGTATGAGATGATAAATATAGTAAACAAACCTGTCTGGGCGCTGACTGTTCCTTTGCAAGATTTGTTTATGTCTTATGCATCAATCTATAAGGCGTATGTTGTATATTATTCCGATGTTATGCTGTTTAGTAATTTAGACTTACTTACTTAAAGAGCTAGAGAATAAGTTTTCTGGTTCACTATTAAATTATAATTTCTAGAGATAATTAAAGTGTCTTTTTGAATTCATTTGTTAACCAGTCTAGCATAAACCAAGGTGTATTGAAAATCTACTAAATCCTAATTGGTGACTCTCGAAAAGCACTTACTCATGATCCTAGGAGAGGTCGAACCCAAAGGTCGGGGGGGGGGGGAGTCAAGTTACTTCAACCAAATCTGCTAAAGACGCTTGCTTACTACTGACATCAGACAATGGTTGTATTATTTCTCCAGCCGTGATAGATTGCAGTTGGGGCACTAGATTTCAGTCTGCTTAGGCTAATGGGCATTTGTTTGCCTCTAGTCTAGGCGCCTCATAGTTCTGGGTCTGATCGCTTTTAGGGTCATGGATAAGGATACCTGAAGTGTCTTCAGTTGGTATACATCAGCATAAATCTGTCAAGTGTGATACTTCTATCAAGGATGTTGAGTGCCATTTCTGGGACAGGGGTTAGGACGCTCACCGACCATGCACATGGTCCGGGGTTCGATCCCTGGCCGACGCACACCCGATATCAGTGGTCGGCTTGCTAAATTTGGGCCACTGATATCACATGCTGAAAATATTTGTATCAAAAATACTGTGCGGAGTCAAGCTATAATAAAATTAAAAAAAAGTAGTGTAGAATATAAAGTTTTGAAACCAATCTGGAAATCTTCGTCACTCAGCGTCAACAACAAAATTCGGATTTTCAATACAAACGTCAAGTCAGTTCTTCTATACGGATCAGAAACTTGGTGAGTCACAAAGAACATTTCCAACAGGTTGCAGAACTTTATCAACAGCTGTCTTCGTTCTATACTGAAGATCAGATGGCCGGAAAGAATCACCAACAAGAAACTATGGGAACAAACAAAACAAGAACCAATCGCCCAACAAATATGCAGGAGAAAGTGGAGATGGATTGGACACTCACTGGCTGAGGAGGCCGCTGGGTGACATCGCGCGTCAGGCCAACGCTCGAGTGGAACCCGAAAGTGAAGCGGCGATTGGGACGTCCAAGGGTGACATGGAGGAGATCGTGTGAAGAGGAGTTGAAACAGTATGGGCTAACATGGACGCAGGTGAAAAGTACAGCAGAAGACAGAAACAAGTGGAGGCGTGCAGTTGAAGCCCTATGTTCCACTAGGAACCCAAGGGAAGAATAAATATAATAATAATAATAATAATAATAATAATAAAGTTTTGCATTTAGTAGAAATTTGAAGATTTTCCTAACTTGGCGGTGAACGTGTGTTTGTGTGTGATTTCTTCCTGATAGTTTAGCTTTCATTTTCAAGTTGAAGATTTCTAGGTACAATCTCTTCCATTCTACTTTTCGAGGAAGCGTTTTATTTTTCATAAAATAGAAAAAAAGAGATTTTTTAAACTATAATTTGATCACTGAATAATTTTATGAGAGAACCTAAACTTGCCTGAAACACCCACATACTGTTGTTTATAGATATCCAGCAAAGTCATGGGAGTTGATTGGTACATTCACTGCTCGAGATGTTAAAGGTATACAGTCTTTTAGTGTAACAAGTGGAAAAATGATCAAATATATCAAGGTAGGTTGATATGTTGATGTTTTAAAAATGAAATTTTTTTAATTCCTTTGCATTCTGTGTGGAACATAGGGCTTCAAGCGTCAGCTTTGAGGTTTCAGTAGAAATGGTTTTTTCTTTTTTGAGGTGGAGTTGTTGGCCTCATGCCCAACCTTCCCAATGTTTTTCAGGCTTACAGCTGGCTAGGGGAGGTGAGGATGTACGCCAGCCAGGGGATCGAACCCCGGACCGCATGAATGGGGTCGGTGAGCATCCTACTGCTAAGCTACTGGCGCACAATATGTTGATGTAATCTTTTTTTTAGAGTATCAGCTGCGCATAATTATGCTTTCATTGTATGTTGAAGTTAGTGGTTTTACATATGTCCAAACCAAGTTCACTTTTAACGCTTTGAAATATGTGGGCATTAGGCAGGTATATGCTATTCATTATTATAAAAGTTTTTGTATTTCCCAATGAATGAAAAAAAACAAAACAATGAACGATATTGCTTTTTACTTTTAACGTTTCGCTATTTAGTTCTATTAATAGCTTTATCAAAGTATTATTAAACCTGAATTTATAAAATATCAACTTAATCATCATTCTTCAGCATGGGGTAATTTTTACGTTGCCAAGTTGGCCAATGTGTACAGATAACAAAGCCATGTGTAGATTGTTGGATTTGATAAGTGTATAAAATTATAAATACAGCATGTGTTTACATAATGAAATCGCTTAACACATTCGTGTTGATTTTGTCATTTCTTCCCCGTGGGTGGGTGGTGGGTGGGTTTTGTAACCAGGTCGAATTCTGTTTTAGTCCATCATTCCTATTCAGACAATTCGGTTCCCATTTTCGATATGAAGTGCTTCTGATGATATGACATTCTTTGAGATTTTTGAAATTTTTCTGGATTATTTCAATATTGCATGGAGGATTTCATCATGAGCTGACATCATTTAGAGAACCACTGGAAAACCTGGGAGTACTGGGCAACTGTTTCGTCTAGTTTGGGACTCTTCATCAGTACGCACCCACCGGGATTCGAACCCAGAACCTTCTGGTTACAAGGCGAGCTCGTAGACCATTGAGCCACTGGAACCCGATCCAATGGTCCTTGAATTCTAACTTCTGCCAATTCACGACATAGCGCGACCATTTCTAACTGATGTCAGCTCATGATGAAATCCTCCATGCAATTAAACAAAATCTCTACCAAACCAATACTTTATTTCAGTATTGTCAAAATCAATTTTGTGACCTGATTCTATAGTTAATAATTTTATTGATCTATTCGAGCCAAAATGGAAGTGTGATAATATATATATATATATATGTCATGTCAGTGGTCACTGGTATTTGAGGACTACCCAGAATAGATTTTCCCATGTATCAGGACACACTTATTCTGTGAGAGCCGATGTTACTTACTCATATGCCCAAACTAAAGTAAGCGGAAAGGTTTTTTTAACCTAAGTTCCATTAACTGAAAGTCAAAAAAGTGTGAAATAGAAATCCGTGTCTCCGGATAACTAGTGCTGTTTGATTGAGTGTCATTGCCACTCATAATTCTATACCTCCTCCAATGATCATCGATTATGTCAGTTTGTCAATTCAATATTATCCCATATAGTTTCACGGGCAGCTGGTTGATTTGGTTACAAAGCGTTCGTCGCCCCCCGTCTAGACAACATCGCTTCAGCTCAGGTTTTTATTACGAAATGAACTCATTTGAATTCTCCCTCCATGAATGGTGATATAATTGTATCTCATGACAACCATTGTTGTGAATGATTGTTAATTTACTCTTCTCTATTGGTCATTTTTGTTGACTTCGGATTTGAACTTTCTTGTCATGTGATTGACTTTTTATTAGCTGGTAAATTTGGTCTATAGAGAGTAATGATTTTGTTGATTACGGATTCACTTGAGTAACAGGCTTCTAGAAATTCCCTGGCATTTTTAGTGTTTTCCTTCTATTTAAATAAAGTGTATGCACTACAATAAACACTACACCGGTTAAAATGGGCATCCCCTTCGAATCCGAATCCAAAAAAACATAGCTGTAAAAAGGCATGTGATGTATATATATATATATATTCCTCTTTCATATCAATGCATGTAGATAATTACGGATATCAATTTCATTACGATAATGTAGAAATTTTAAATAGAGGAAACACTAGAAATGCCACGGAATTTCTAGAAGCCTGTTACTCAAGTGAATCAGTAATTAACAAACTCATTACTCTATAGACCAAATTTACCAGCTAATAAAAAATAAATCACATGACAAGAAAGTTCAAATCCGAAGTCAACAAAAATGACCAATAGAGAAGAGTAAATTAACAACTATTCACAACAATGGTTGTCAGAAGATACAATTATATCATGGAAAATTCCCATTGTAACATATAGAAAATCAAAACAAATGATTCAGCGAAGAGACTCTTTTCAACGAATTTATCATCAAGCTGTACAATCGTATATATATGGTTTTTAAGAAGTTATATCCGGTGAGGGAATTGAAACATAGGTTTGAATGCATGAAATAATAATAGTATGAAATGCAATTAAAACTAAAATGTTTGTGATTATAATCGTAGTTAAATGTCAAGTGGCAAAGCAAATTAATGCCATATAAAGAATAATTCATAGGATGGATAGAAATTGAAAAAGGGTGTGCAATTATAAGATTAGTAGACAAATCGAATAAAATAAAAACGTTACGTAATATTGTGTGGAATTTGATAGCATAGAATTTAATGTTGCATAATGGAATTGATTCAGAATGACAAGTGGAACAAGTGAAATAATACCGGGGACAGTTAAAAGTGAGAGTAGTAATAGTAACAATTGACTTAATAAGGAAGAGTATACAAATTGAATAGACAAAAATGAAAAAATGAAAAATTGGTAGAGCTAAAATATGATTGGGGATTACCATACTTTAGCATAGAGGCATTAAGACCATGAAAGTTGGAGGAGTTGAACGAACTTTTTCTGTACACAGAGATCTGGCTTTTCAGTTTCGATGGCCAAAGCTTCAGCAATACAGATGAGTCGGGTACGTAGGGATTTGGGTAAATTACTCTTTGCCTTGTAGATGACTTTGAAGGAGGAGGCTATAAATATAGGGTGATCATTATCGACCAGATGTTCAATGATCGCGCTTTTTATTGCTCCATTTCCACCTTTTCGTAACCATGCAGGATAGTGTTCTTGAACCCTCTTGGACAAAACTCGTGTCGAACGACCGATATACCTAGCTCCACACGAGCAGGTGAACTGTTTCAATTCCCTCACCGGATATAACTTCTTAAAAACCATATATATATGATTGTACAGCTTGATGATAAATTCGTTGAAAAGAGTCTCTTCGCTGAATCATTTGTTTTGATTTTCTATACAATTATATCACCATTCATGGAGAATTCATCAAATGAGTTCATTTCGTAATAATAATAATAATAATAATAATAATAATAATATGCTTTATTCCAAAACAGTACTTGTGATACAGAATGGAATTCTCAGCATTTTTACTACAGTATTGCATCCAGTTAGTACATTGTCAATAAATAGAATTCTACATAGATTGAGGAAACCACAGTTCATTATTACAACAGTACATTGGTATGTTCAGTAGCAAAGGTAAAGCTGAAACAGTGTTTGAAGGTGTTAGAAAAGTGGGAGCTGTCTTATTAACTGGCGTAAGCGAAAGAAAGAGACAAAGCAGCACATGACGGAAAAAGAAGAGAGAGAAAAGGAACAGAAAGAAAGGAAATGTTGAACCTATTGATGAAGTGGGTTGGAAAGATGAGATCCAGTTATACTAATGACTATTTAATGAATTATAGGTGTCACGCCTAATGCTTTCTTTATCACACAGAACGCGAGCTAAGTAGGGTATGGTTGAGTTTTTGTACTTGCTGGTGCGAGCATATAGTTTTCTATATTGGCTTCTGGTTTTACCTGATGAGATGCAAGGGGAGAGTTGTGAGTGAAGAGGGTGGTGTGAGTTAGATAAAATGGACTTGGCCCATTTTTCACATGAGTCCATGTGCCTGTCAACCAAAATATTAACAAGCTGAAGTGATGCTGTCTAGATGGGGGTGGCGGGACGAAAGCCTCACAATTAAATCAACCAGCTTCTCAGAGAACACAACAAAGTCAAAATCATCCACCTGAGCTATAAATCATCTGAGTAGCTGTGTGTCAGACTCATATTATTGAGTAGTCAGTTTACAGGTGTATGATCTGTTGGTTAAAACACGCATACATTCAAAGGATTAACACTACAATTCAAGTTTAAACCTAAGACAGAAGGTCTAAAAGTTTCGCGTCATTTTGCTGTTAATTATATTGTTTTGTTGTATTTCTGATTTGTGCAGCACTGTTTTTGTGTCTACTCTTTTTAATAGAATACACTTTGAGTATATTTCACGTGATACTAATGATGTAGCACGTGCTCTTGTTAGCCTAATGACTTTGTTGAAGCGTATTCAATACATATGTACTATTTTGTGAAGTCTTTTTTTTACTATTCCGGCTTAAAATTTCTATTTCTTCTAATAAGGTCAATAGTGTATTCTATCATTTCTGAATGTAGAAAAACAAAAGGGCTCTATACATAAGTAAACTCTATTTTAAGCGTTAATATAATTTATTCTGAATACTTTCACATGCCCTGTCTGTGTCGACTGACTGACTGACTGACTTCAACGTAGAACTTTGCACAGATCTGCAGCAGTTCGAGTTGCCACTCACCCTCCCTATACCACACAAAGCAAGAGAACAGAGTAAGGCGAGATGATAAACAGTAATGTGAATGAGAGTAAAAGAATAGTAATACGGAAGAAGAATAGAGTTGAGTGCTTCTGTGCTACTCATTGAGAACGAGAATTTCGAGCCATATCACTGATTGTCTCCAGCCATCACTCATTCTTACCATTCCGAGGATCCCAACCAGTCAGTCAGACAGTCTACATCTCCTTACATGGTTGATTGACTTAAAGTAACTGTTATAGATTTGATTGATTGATGAAGCTGTGTTTTGGTTTGACCACCACTCACAGCCCCTTTCCAACCTGATCCTATGTTAGTCAGCTAACACTGCCCGTCGTCGAGGAAGACGATGTTTTGGTGTGCATGTGTAACACATGTCACTCAATCGATGTAACTGCTTCACGACCTCATTGATTGATTTCACCTCCTCACCTAGCTAGCACTCGACTGAAGCCTAACGTGTAGCTATCACTTACCCTATTTATTATACCGCCTAACGCACACGGGAGATAGAACGCAGGCACCTATGATGAAAAACAGCTAACCAGCCTTTTCATGTCTTCACACATCTTCTCTGAGTCACTTGGTTGGAATTCAGAAGCTGTCGTCGTCAGTAAGTCATTGTATCGGAGTCTAATAGTTAAACAATAATGTGTCCGCACACCTCTTGAAATGCTCCCATATGACCGGGCGTCTTACATAGCCTCTCCTGAGGAAGTCCTACTCACTGCCTTCACGTGGCGGTGTTTTTCACCAAAGTGAGAGGGCGAAAGCGGATGCCCGGCGCTCTTCACCTGGTTGACTGTCCATTGGATGACAGTCTAGGCGAGATGGCTAGACCCTGATTCCAAACCTCCAACGACTGGCGTATGAAGCTCACTGGATCTCACCGGCAGACGCATGGACAAAGGGCTTGTTGGATGTCCTGGATGTCTGGCCCCATTCAAAAAGGCGTATGAACCGAACTCCGGTCACCGGCTGACAATGGATAGTGGACTCCCTACTCCACTCCTACTGCCTTGTACGTCACACTTGATTGTGTAAAGGCTATAGCTGCACTCTCAAACAAAAGGCCGAGCGATTCTGGGGACATCACTCGTACCAAATTCCCATGAAACTTCATGAACTCTCTTATTCGAGATGTTCATAAAGCCGGCTCATCCTCCCGTAGGAGATAGCCGAAGTAAAGTAAAAGTAAGTATTGAGACCTGATGGTTACAGGATTAATATTCATCTGAGTATTCATGGTGAAAGATTGTTGAAATCACAGTGCCGTAAACGTAGAAGCCTTATTCATTTTATTATATTGATGGATTATATGATTAGGTAATATTCGATTAAGATGTGTTCCATTTATTATATGTAGCAGTGAATAGCTTTCTATTCATTTCTGTTACGCATAAAACATGTTTTTTAATATTTATGAAAGTCTTTTCAGGAGAAAACGAGAAAAACGATCCTTGTTTTCTTATTTACACATCTTTTATTTTCTTTAAAAAAATTTTTATTTTATAGTTTGAATTAACAGAACACTATGGTTCAGAACATTATTGTCCATTAACTATGATCAGAATATTCGGCTTAGGCTCTGATGATTTAGACGATGATGACGATGATGATGATATTGTTGATGTTGGTATGGTGAATATCCAAGGCATGCGTAATAATCACAAGTCTGTTGGTGCTGTTGGCGGTGATAACAACAATACAGGTATGTTTCCTTAATTTAACAGATACATATTGATTTATCAAGTGTTAGTCTGCAAGGGTTTGATCGGTTACATGATATGATTGATCACGGGCTAACATCAGTTAGAGAACCACTGGAAAACCAACAGAGAGTAGTGTACAACTGTTTCGTCCTAGTTTGGGACTCTTCAGCAATGTGCACCCACCAGCGGGGTTCGAACCCAGGACTTTCTGTTTACGAGGCGAGCTCGTTGACCATTCAACCACTGGGACCTGACCCAACGGTCCATGAATTCCAACTTCTGCTAATTCGTGTTTGTATGTTTGGTCGACTTCCGTCGGCTTTTAAGTGCAATAGTTTACTTTTGTTAAATTCAGTTAGTACTTTGGTAGTTAGGATGTAAGCGATATCATGTATCCATTCCTCCGTTATTGGGTCTGTCTGAATTCTATCAATGAAGTTTTGAGTGTGATCACCACGCCACGCCAGGTAAATCAAATCACACTATTGTGGTACATTTTGAATGGATATTAGGTGGTTAGAGGCGATTGGCAAGTAAGAAGCCCTTGACTTACAGGTTTACTGGTTCTTTGGCAATTGCCAGCAAAGTGTATCTGCAACCTGGAAAGAACTAAACTATGATTTGTCCCCTCGTAGATATGTCTATGCCTTCCTGCCGATGACCTCCAACAACTTGTTGAAATTAACTATTACTAGTAATAACTAGTGCAATAAATTCTTAGTCTTCTGTAGGATGATATGGATTTGTAACTTTTTTATTATCTTATTTTGTTTAAATATTACGTAATATAATGAGTAGTAAGTCAGGGAAGATAATCTCACAAATTCCAATGATATTTTATCATTAATTGTTGATTGTGAAATTTTATCTCCAATGAAAATTCATACATTTATTAATCTTTATGAATTTGATTAAAGCATGAATAACAGTTTATTCAGGGTGTGAAAGAAGTTCAATGAATGAAATTGTGATGCATTTGATCCGGTATAAAATATATATTCACACTACTGACCACAAAAGAAGCATCAGAGATAGGACTTCAGGTGAACATAGAGAAGACAAAGGTGATGAAGATTCCCGGGCAACACCACCAACAGCAACAGCAACAACAGACAACGATCAGCATAAATGGAAGGAACCTGAAAGAAACAACCTCTTTTACCTACCAACCTGGAAGCATCGTTTCAACTACAGGCGGATGGAACTGACGAGGATATCAAAGCAAGAATCGGAAAAACAAGACAAGCTTTCACTACTCTCAAGTCTGTGTGGAGGTCAACAGCACTACTCAGTATGAAAAATAAAATCCGGATTTTCAACTCCAATGTGAAGTCAGTGCTACTCACTGAACAGATCAGAGACTTGGCCGGCGCGTCATAAAGAACATCTCAAACAAACTAGAGACCTTCATTAACAGTTGTCTTCGCTCAATACAACTCAAGATCAGATGGTCAGAAAAGATCAGCAACAGGGATCTCTGAGAGCGAACCAACACAGCAGGAACCGATTGTGAAACAAATAGGCAGGAAGAAATGGAGGTGTATTGGCTGGCCATACTCTGAGGACACCATCAAGTGACATCACTAGACAAGCCATTGCTCGAGTGGAACCCGAAAGGGAAGCGGCGAGTTGGTCGTCAGTGCAAGGGTGACTTGGAGGAGGTGATGTGAAGAGGAGATGAAAACGTGTGAGCAGACTTGGAGCCCGGTGAAGACTCTAGCAGAGAACCGAACGCAATGGAGACGCATGGCTGAAGCCCTATGTTCCTCTAGGAATTAAAGGAAATAATAATAATAATACTGGCCACATCATCAAAGGATTGAGCTTCATTTCTCAATTTTACAAACTCTACCATCCTCTCTCAAACCGTCTTCGACATATCACTTAGTCGCATATTGAATCAACAGAATCCTTAGATTTCATTATTGAGAACTGAAGCTGGATGCTTAGATGATGTTGTCAGTAGTGTGAATATATTGTATATTGGATCGAATTCATCATTTTCATTGAAAACCTTCTTCAACCTGTGTACAAACTGTTATTCTTGCTTTATTCAAACTCTAATGACAATGTTTTAGAAAATGTTTTTCTTAGAAGCAAAATGTATATGTGTTAATACATTCCCTAATCACCTCTTTGTGAACGTTCATTGAACTAATATAATTGTACTAAATCTCCTCCTACAATATTTCATTATAATACAACAATAGGAGAAATATTCAGGGTTATATAAATTAGATGGTTGGAGGCAATCGGTCACAGGGAAGCCTTGCTTGACCTAGGTTTCGTGCTAGTTGGCACTCACCAGTCAGCAAGGCGTATCTGCAACCTTACAGGAATTCATGTCCCTCCTTCTGAGATTCGAAAGCGCGTCGTCACCTAGTGCAGTGCTGCAGTCAGAGACGTTATCACTGAGCTAGCTATTCAGGCTCGCGATTGACCTCCTGTAGGACTGTAGTGGATGTTTTGATTGGACACTAGTAACTAGTGTGATGTAACAATCGCCCTCACAATCCGAAGTGCACGCGAAACCCCTCTAATCCTCGCTCATCTTTGTCTTCATCTTCATCTCTATTATCTTGCCTTCCTTCTACCAATGCAACTCCTCTACTTGTTGGCTCTTCACTTCCCCTTCACTCTGTGTGCACTGATAACGATGGAAGCCAAAAAGCCACCACCGATTGTCTCCTAAAACCACGCCACCAATTTTATATAGGGGCATTTAATGTTAGGACACTTTACCAAATAGGACAACAAGCATCACTAGCCAAGACTCTGGCATCCCGAGCCATTGATGTATGTTGTGTTTCAGAAACACGCATACAAGACCCAAGTGTGGTTATTCACCTAACCCCACCTGGCCAACAGGATGAATCTGCAAAATTCACCTTGAGGGTGTCAGGAGATGCGACGGCTAGCTCACGAGGATTAGCTGGTGTTGGGATAGCTTTAAGTACTAGAGCAGAAAAGACATTACTTGACTGGATCCCGGTAGATAGCCGAATGTGCGCTGTCCGCCTGAACGGATCAGTGAAAAGGAGAAAGGACTGCACTACTCGCCGATGCCTTTTCGTAATCTCCGCCTACGCCCCCACTGACTGCAGTTCGGATGAAACGAAGGATGAGTTCTACCAAAAGCTGTCTAGTTTGCTGCGAAAGGCTAAACGCTCAGATATAGTCGTTTTAGCTGGTGACTTTAATGCTCAAGTAGGGAAATTGTGTCAATCTGAGAAGAATGTTGGTGGCACATACGGAATTCCGTGCCAGCGAACCGACAACGGTGACCGTCTCCTACAGTTCTGTTCAGATAATCATTTGTATCTTGTAAGCACTAACTTCAAACACAAGGAGAGACACTGTTTGACCTGGCGACCCCCATCATCAAATCAACGCTGGACACAAATAGACCACATAGCAATAAGCTATCGTTGGCGTGGGTCGGTAGGAGATTGTCGCTCCTTCTGGAACACGTGTGTAGATACCGATCACGCACTGGTCCGCGCTCGTGTGTGCTTACGACTGAACGGACGTAGGAAACAGCTGGCGGTAAACCCATCACGTCCCCAGCTCGACCAGGGAACTAAGTCCCTATTTGAGGAAGAACTAGCTAAACACATATCTGAGTTTGACAGCTGCGCTCACCCTGAAGAAGCCTGGAAGAATATTCAGTCAGCCATAGATACAGCTGTAAAAGCTGTGAATAAGGTAATTCCAAAGGTGAGTAAAAACCATTGGATTTCGACTGCCTCATCCGAACTGATAGATGCTAGAAGACTTATTCCGGCGAGCTCCGAATTCAATGAGGAGCGAAAGCTGCACAAAAGGAAACTTACGAAAAGTCTCCGCAAGGACTGTGAACAATGGTGGGTGACAAAGGCGAAAGAGATGGAAAAAGCATCGGCGATAGGCAACACCAGACAACTATTCAGGCTTATCAGGGAAACAAGTGGTAAAAAACAAATGATAAGCGAAACAATCTCCGAGAAAAATGGCATCATAATTAGCTCCCAGGATAGACGTCTGGAGCGCTGGAAAGAACACTATGAGGAGCAGTTTAATTGGCCCACAGCCACACTTAACCTACCGGACATCCAACACCTCCCTGAATGGGAGATAGACACAGGTCCGTCCTTAACCGAGGTTACTAAAGCTGTCACCAATCTGAAGCAAGGCAAAGCAGCGGGACCTGATTTATTGACTCCAGAGGTATTTAAGTACGGAGGCGACAGTTTACTGTCTGCGTTAACGGAGGTTCTAGGCAGCGTCTGAGAATCAGAGGAAGTCCCATCGGGTTGGTGTAAGTCACTGATCATCCCGATATACAAGAAGGGGGACAAGTCGTCTTGTGATAATCACAGAGGGATTAGCTTGACTAATATAGTATCTAAAATCCTAGGCTCAATAATACTGCGTAGATTAAGTGGTGCTCGGGAGACACAAACACGAGAGAATCAGACAGGCTTTAGACCAGGAAGAGGGTGTATTGATCATATCTTAACCCTTCGACAGATTCTAGAACATAGGCATTCCTACCGGCGTCCAACAATCATTATATTTCTTGACCTAAAGACGTTATTCGATTCTGTCGACCGAAAGGGTTCTCTGGCGATGCTTGGCTGTAAAGGGAATGCCGAGAAAATACATTGCACTGATTAAGGCACTCTACTCGTACTCATGCAGCCAGGTGAGGGCTTATGGCGAGTTGTCATCTGAAGTGGTGACGACTAGTGGCGTCCGTCAAGGATGCCCATTATCCCCATTCCTATTCAACTTCATCATAGATGTACTAATGGACTTAATCCTAACACACTTCAGCGACTCAGGGATTGACTTGCTACCAGGGAAGAATCTCGTTGACTTAGAATATGCGGACGATATAGTCCTTCTAGGCGAGGACGCTGACAAAATGCAGAGTCTACTGAACACCCTGAGCAACAATCTCCGCATGTTTGGCATGCGATTCGCCCCTGTCAAATGTAAGATGATGCTGCAGGATTGGACTTCATCGACTCCTAGATTAGAAATAGGAAGTGAAGTGGTAGAACACGTTGACCGCTTCACTTACTTGGGAAGTACCATCAGCCAGTGCCAACGGATTGATCTCCGACGAAATCTCAGCACGAATACAGAGGGCTAGGTTCGCATTCGCCAGTTTTCGCCGTCTCTGGCGTAGACGCGATATCCGACTATCGACCAAAGGGCGTGTGTACTGCTCAACAGTCCGCTCCGTCCTCCTTTATGGCTGTGAGACCTGGCCATTGAGAGCAGAAGACATGAAAAGATTAGCTGTCTTCGATCATAGGTGTCTGCGTTCTATCTCCCTTGTGAAGTGGTATAATAAGGTGAGCAATATTGAGGTTAGGCGTCGAGTGCTAGGTAAGGCGGGGAAATCAATCGACGAGACTGTGAAACTACTTCGACTGAGATGGTTAGGACATGTGCTACGAATGCCTAGTCATCGATCGCCTTCCTCGACGGGCAATGTTAGCTGATATAGGGTCAGGCTGGAAAAGAGCTAGCGGCGGTCAAACGAAAACATGGCACCAATCAATGAAATCCACAACAGTTAATCTAAGCCACGTAGGAAGATGTAGACTTCCTGGTTGGGGCCCTCGGGATGGTAAAAACCAATGGTTGGAAACAATTGGTGACATGGCTCAAAATCGTTCTCAGTGGCGCAGATGCATCCACTCCTTGTGACTTATGATTTCCAATTAAACTTTTGTTCTCCGTTATTACTATTCCTTTGTCTCACACCACTGTTTACTGTCTATATTATGCATTTCTTCTACTTCCTTCTCTTGCTTTGTGTGCTACATGGATTGTGGCGACTTGAACTGCCGCACATATGTGCAAAGTTCTATGTCGAAAACCGACCGACCGACCGAACTAGTGTGATGTGTCTAGTCCTTTCTCTTTGGTGCAGACTGAATTCTATCAGTCAGGTTAGCAATGTGGCCACCATACTAGGTGGCTCGCCATCACGGTGCACACATTGATTTGATGATATTAGATGGTTGGAGGCAATCGGCCACAGGAAGCCTTGCTTGACCTAGGTTTCGTGCTAGTTGTCACTCGTCCAACCATTTAATATCATCAAATCAATGTGTGCACCGTGATGGCGAGCTACCTAGAATGGTGGCCACATTCCAAAACCTGACTGGTAGAATTCAGTTTGCACCAAAGAGAAAGGACTAGACATATCACACTAGTTACCAGTGTCCAATCAAAATTATATAAATTAGTTATTGTAATTGAATCAATACAATAGTATTGATTGTTTTTAATTTTCAATCAGAATTCTCTTCTGTCTAATAAATTAGGCGTAGCCCTATGGACTGTCACGTCTGCTTGTTGAAATAAACATTGCTCCACATTACTGTTTAATAGTTCCGTGTATGCTAGTTATTTCTATGCTCTCAGTATTTAAAAATGCTTGTAAATTTCATGTATTGTTTGTGTTTGTGTGTGTGTGTGCTACTCAGTTATGCACAGTAAATTGAGTAGTTGGTTAGGGTGTCGATGTGGTATCCACTCTCTGCTTAAAACTTGTAAGTTGGTATGCTCTACTCAGACTGTCAGGGGTAATTCAAGTAAAGTTTTAAAATTTTCCTTTAATCTCCTACTCACAGCCTTAACGCTCAGTAGGGGTTAAGGGCGAATGTGAATGTCTAGTGCTTATAACGTGACTGATGCACACGCTGGTCTACGTGGGAGAGCTAGGAAACCCTGATTTCAAACTAATGGGGAACATGGGCTTCAAAATCCGATCAAATCGAGTGGCGTGTGGACTTGTTTTGGTCACTATCAACCATGGGTACACATAGCTCATTGCGTTGCTTCATTGCTTTGTGGACCAGAATTCAAGTCAGAAACTCGGTAGGGTGGTCCATTAAGACTTTCGAGCATTATCCCACCCCTTGCCCAGACTATGAGATTTCGTGTGGTGCATCTCATTTTGTCCATAATGTACGAAGTTTGTATTTCAGTATTATAACAATAATGATAATAATAATCATAACAATAGTAAAGATAGGGATATATTCAGGTACACTGTACTTGTAGATGGTATCAAGAGGGAAACTTGTATACATCAAAGGCTTATGGCTCACATGTCATTCAATTTATGAAATCTTTTTTATCTCTTTACGTTCTCAGTGGAACATAAGGCTTCAAGCTAGAAACTTGAAGTTTCAGTAGCAGGGGGGCTATTATTAATTTTTTAAAATTTTTTACGGGATGGGGTTGCTGGTCTCATGCACAACCTCCCGTCTATGCCAGTCTTATTACTGGTTTAGCGAGGTAAAGGAATGCGTCCGTGGCCGGGGATCGAACCTCGGACCACATGGGGCGTGGTTGGCGAGCATTCTACCGCTGTGCCACCGACACAAACGGCACATAATGCTACCGAAATGAATGACAATAACTGTATATTAGGTAACCGAGAAGTTATGCTCAACACAGTAATTGGAAATCAGTCGGCTGCGATGGTGGTTGAACGGTAGAACTCTGACCAGCCACGCCCATGGTCCGGCGTTCGATCCTCCGCCCCATTAAGCTGGTAGCAAGGCCAGTAAAAAGGGGGAAAGGTTGAGCGTGGGGCTAGTAAAAATAAAACTGCTGCTACAGAAACTTCAGAGCTCTCACTTTTGAAACCCTATGCTCCACTTGGAATGCAAAGGAAGAAAATCAATAATAATAGTAGTCACGTGAAGCAGATTTCTAGTAAACACTAGGCTATAAATTAGCCTTGTTGTTTGAAGATTTTTTTTCCTTCACGTTCCCCAGTGGAACATAGGGCTTGAAGCTAGTGGCTTGAAGTTTCTGTAGCAGTGTTTATTTTACAGGATGGGGTTGCTAGCCTCATGCCTAACCTTTCCTCTTCACCAGCATTATTTCTGGCTTAGCGAGGTAAAAGAGTGCATCGACCGGGGATCGAACCCCGGACCATGTGCATGATTGGCGAGCGTCCTAATCGCTATGCCACCGACGCACTGTTTGAAGATTGGTGATGATAATTATGCTACATACTACTCAGTCTTGTGGGTTGACGAAGACAGAGTAGAATTCATATATTTATGACTAATGGAATTTGGATCTAGCGTTCACATGTTTTTCATTGTCGTGCTAAAATCAGGAATTAGTAGAAGTTAGAATTCATTGGTTGGCCATTGACTCGGGTCTCAGTGGCTGAATGCTCTACGAACTTGCCTTGTAACAGGGAGGTCCTAGGTTTGAACTCCCGCTGTGGGCGAGTATTCCTGAGAAGTCCCAGACTGGGACGAAACAGTTGTTCAATACTGCCTGTTGATTTTCACTGGTTCTCTAACTGATATTAATCCATGGTTAGATGTGAAACAAATCAATTCCCTACAAAGTAACGCTTTAAAACATACTTTTATGTTTGAATTAAAGTTTGTTATCATAATTGTTTTATTAACTTATATTTCTTCTATTTCCTAATTTCTTCTAAATTATGTTTCATTATTATTATTATAGCTGAAAGTGAAAAGGTTCAAGCGAACGATGGAAATAATTCACCAGAATCGAATGTTCCCCCTCATCAATCCACTGAAGATGATCCTTCTGTCTCATCGCCATCGCCATCATCATCATCATCACCATCACAATCCAATAATGAGGCGAATACTAACTTACAACAGAATCATTCAAAATCGAGTGAATTAGAGCCTTCAATGACGCCTTCGCCATTTCCAACTACTGAAGACAGTGAAAATCATGATAGTATCAGTAAATCAGATGAAAATAATAATAATAATGATAATAATAATAAGGTCAATCCAATGATCGATCATTATTCAGTGTTATTCTCTATTTCAATGAAGCATCAACAAGATAAGAGGAGTATGCATGCAACAAAAGATGATGGATATTTGAGTTATTCTAAAAATAACGGCGGAGTCTGTATGAATAATCGGCTGGTACAATCATTAATACATAAACCGTATTGTTCAGGTGAGTTTATAATTGTTCTTCTGTTTTTTTAAAAAAAAATTTCTTTTTATTGAGTACTACTGTTAATTATTAAAGACATTAGTCGAACTACTGATTAACTGACTGACAGTTAAAATAATGTGACATGCATTATAATAAAGGCTTTTGTATTTCCCAATGAATGAAAAAACAAAACGACATTGTTGTTTTTACTGACGTTTCGCTATTTAATGCTAATAGCTTTATCAAAGTATTATTAAACCAGAATTTACAAAATCCACTCAGCTTATATATAACAAAGAGTTAAGAAGTGAGAAAATAGAAAAAGTTAAAGGGACATATCGAAAGTTAAAATAAAAATGAAGATCACTAAACCAAATAAATAGTACATCTGTTATGATATCAAAGCAAAGTTTACTAACTTGATCATCGTGCGTCGGTGGCATAGCGGTTAGGACGCTCGCCGACCATGCACATAGTCCGGGTTCGATCCCCTGCCGACGCACACCCGATATCTATGGTCGGCCTGCAAAATTTTGGCTACCGATATCCATACTGAAAATTCCATACTTGTCCTGAAAATACTGTGTGGCATCAAGCTGTAATCAAAAATAAAAATAAAAAATACTATGCTGTCTGTAACAACTCCGTTGATTTGACTTAACTTTTGCTTGTATGCTTATTTTTCTAACTACCTAAAACTCTTGCGCAATTCCGTATCTTATTTTGTTTCCATGTGTACCCTGAGCACAGCTATTTCATCAAACTATTCATTTTATTACGCAACTTTTCCTTAACAATCGTTTGTGACAACTCATCACTTTTGTTACTGCGCTCTTATATCAACATCCAATTCCTCTGAACTTACTAATATGACATGTTTTATTTTGATATTTACATTTTCAATAGCGCTAACTTTCGTTAGAGAGAATATGAAGTTGAATTTTGTTCAAATGACACTAACAGTGTGTCATTAGAATGTGTTTGGTTCTTTTCTGAACCACCCACTCATGAGAATATACCATCTCGATAGTGAGAGTAAACCTCTTGATATAACCATAAAACTTAGGCACTGTGCTGGTAGAGTATAACTCCATTATGGATAAGATTTTATTTTGATAAAGTCACACAGTGTTGTACAGTAATATTAACTGATGACCACGTTTCGAGCACAGACTATTGTCACTTATAATCATATCAAGTCACTCACTCACACAACTTTTTTCCTTCATTTATATACATGAGTGGAATTGATGATTAGACGTTTGAATAAAAATCAGTACTATAAGATAATGTACATTCAGAAATAATAAGATGAGTGTTATTGATCAATTATAATCAGATTGGAAATAAGACGAGTGTTTTTATAATCAAATTAATAAGTAACTTGTTAGAATGTCATGATGTACGTGAATTGAAATAGAATTTTGAGATTATTTATTATCCTCCTCTGATTTGACTGATTGGTGGTAATAATATCTTCCATATTTCTGGTATTTGCATTGAGTGATTTCTGTTGCATGTGTTGGGTGTAGACTCGATGAACAAGGATTCAGTAATCAGCCTTTTTTAGAATTTTAACTTTCACCCACCCTATTGTGTGGTTGTGTGTTAATGCATGCAGTGCAATTGCTGAGTTTTCTCTAAATTACTTATCTTCTCGGGTGGAATCAATCATTCTTACCTTAGCCACTAAATTCTTATGTTCCGACAATCTGAATACCCCCGATCTACTAGTTTGACCTATGTAGTTGACTTAACTCATAGTCATTGCAAGGTATTTTGTAAATGATATTATTTTGTCTAATTGGGTTCACCGGGTCTTTTAGCCTACAAAGCTTGTCTCTAAGTGAGTTTGTGGGTTTCAATAACACTCTAATTCTTGCTTTATTAAGAATCCTACGTAGGGTCTCAGATGTCCCCTCCTTATATGGTAAAATTACTGTAAATGTCTTATATTTCTTCTTTTTTATGCTGTCATTATTAGTCTCACCATTATTTTTATTTTGCTTTTGGTCTTTTCTGATCTTCCTAATGAATTTTATAGGATAGTTATTTGATACCAACGCTTCTTCTGTCTGTTTTATTTCATCATTTAGGTCTTTTCTTATGCTACTTAGTGCTATTGCTCGGTTTGTTAGACACTTAACTAAGCCTACCTTAACAGTAAACCTCTTTTCTAATCCAGTCATTAAAGTCCAACATATAAGCTGTGGAATTGCTGTTTCGCATAGGTTATGTAGTTCACACCGCAATCTTGTACTCTGTAATATAGTAGGTGATATGAAGAAAAAAATATCCCCAAAGGCCAGAGAATGAAAGAGACGAAGTAAAAGTGATGGACGAGGGAATATAAAATATGATGAAAGGAAGGTGTGAATCCATTTTTAAACCATTGATGCCTGTTTCATGACTCATGGGATTTTATGGAGTTTTTAAGTTCATGAAAAATCCCCATTCGAACATTGATAGACAGAAGACCAGTAGTTCAGCGAGGAGTCACTTTTCGGCGGCGAATTCATTTTGCATAGCATATAGATGGTTCTTTTGTACTTATATGTATGTGTACATTAAATTTGTCAAACGAAAATACAGTTAGTAAGTTCAGATGAATTGGATGTTGAAATAAGAGCGTAGTAACAAAAGTGATGAGTTGTCACAAACGATCGTTAAAGAAGAGCTACGTAATAAAATGAATAGTTTGATGAAATAGTTGTGCTCAGGGTGTACATGGAAACAAAATAACATCAAATCAATGTGCACCGTGATGGCTAGCCACCTAGAATGGTGGCCACATTGCAAACCTGACAGATAGAATTCAGTCTGCACGAAAGAAAGGACTAGACACATCACACTAGTTACCAGTGTCCAATCAAAGTACCCACTAGTGTCCTACAAGAGGTCAATCGCCAGCCCGAATACCTAGCTCAGTGATAACGTCTCTGACTGCAGCACTGCACTGGGTGACAACGCGTGTTCGAATCTCAGAAGGAGGGACATGAGTTCCTGTAAGGTTTTAGATACCCCTTGCTGACTGGTGAGTGCCGACTAGCACGAAACATAGATTGAGCAAGGCTTCCTGTGGCTGATTGCCTCCAACTATCTAATATCATCAAATAAAAGGTTTCTTTCGAGCAGTTGAGTTCAAACACTTATCTGCTTTAATGCTTTACATTATGTGCGAAATTTCTCATCTAAATTTCATTATATATATTGGCGCAACATTTATACGCTTTTATTAATCTTCATTAAAACTAGATGAATTGATATGGTTGTTTCTTTTCTCTCTCCTTTTATTTTTAGCTTTATCTTATCGTCAACACCATAGTGGTGATACTGAGAGATCTTCTCCGCCTACATGTCATACTACAAAGCTGTTGAATACTGTCAATCCACCAACTCGAAAATCTCACCTCCCTATAACAACAACAACTAGACCTACAACTACAAGTACAAAACCTACAACAGAGAAAAAAGGCTCAATTCTAGTCCCTAATGATGAGATTAAGAATACTCTGCTAAACAATAATTTAACACTACAATTACGTAATAAAACATTCAGTCAAGTGGTTGATGAAATCAGTATAGTCTCTCGGTTGACAAGTAAGCACTATTTAATTTATTAATGACTTTCTTTTTGGCATCATTTCACCAACCAAAATAACTATGATGATAAATGTAACTTATTTTCAGTTGAACAGACAACATGTAAGAGAGAGAAAATAAAGATATTTCACACCTCTCTTATGTAACAGAGATAATACGACAATACAATCATCGATATATGCGAAAGCAAATCTGTCTTTCTCTGTCTGTTTTCAACATATAGAACAACAGCAGTTCGAGCCAGCACATTCCATGTAGCACACAAAGTAAGAGAAGAAAGTAGAAGAAATGCATAATAGAGACAGTAAACAGAGATGTGAGACAAAAAGAAGAGTAATAACGAAGAACAATATAGTTTCATTGGAAATTGTAAGTCACAAGGAGTGCATGCATCTATGCTAGCCACTGAGAACGATTTTGAGCCATGTCACCAATTGTTTCCAACCATTGGTTTTTACCGTCCCAAGGACCCCAACCAGGAAACCAGTCTACATCTTCCTACGTGGCTTAGATTAACTGTTGTGGATTTCATTGATTGGTGCCATGTTTTGGTTTGACCGCCGCTAGCTCTTTTCCAGCCTGACCCTATATCAGCTAACATTGCCCGTCGAGGAAGGCGATGACTAGGGATGTATGCATAACATATGTCCTAACCATCTCAGTCGATGTAATTTCACAGCCATGTCGTTTGATTTCCCCGCCTTACCTAGCACTCGACGCCTAACCTCAATATTGCTCACCTTATTATACCACTTCACACGGGAGATAGAACGCAGACACCTATGATCAAAGACAGCTAATCTTTTCATGTCTTCCGCTCTCAATGGCCAGGTCTTGGTACATAACAAGAAAAGTTTTTTTAGATTCAAGTTTCTACAAAGTCAGGGGATCAGCGTACTGACAGATGATATTTAAAGTTTCATGAAGCGGAATCTGTGTGAACAGGGAGGTCACAACAAAAGAGACCATACATTTATTCAATATTAAATTTGCCAGCCTTATTAACGAATCCTCCAGAGTATGTTTAATTAGTTGTTGTCCACTAACATGTCGATGGAAGAGTGATTTCACAATTGATGGTATAGGTCTCATCATGGAATCATAAACTTTACCATTATACTGTTTCGTTTAAATGCCTGTCCTACAGACTTGTAGCACTTAGTGATGTAATGTTATATAGGTTTCTTTCTCCTTGGTATCTGCTGTTTACACTTACCAAAAATATCTCGACTGTAACCTCTACCAAACATCTAATTCAAACAGTCATTTGGTTTCTCATCATGTTCACAATGAATTAGCTTAAATCCTGCAGTTTGATACCGCATTGAAGATTGCGGTGTTTGACTGCTCTTGAAGTTTATAGTTTTTGAAATACAGCTAGCTAGTTTCTTTACAATTATTCCTGCGAAATCAAGAGAGAAGACAGACCGTTGATTGATTGATAGGATGGTAGTGTTTACTGTCTTAAACAACACAGTAAAAAAAGTTGACCACTCTTCTAACTGGGTCTCAATTGATCCTGACAAATACTAAGTTCCCAGATAGGTTAAACGACTGGTTAGCAACCAACCGATTGGTGTTCAGCCTTCAAAAAGATGAAAAAGACAATATCCACGAATGCACAATAACTGCAAAGTATAATTAGTTTTATGAAATAAGCAAATTTAGAGGGGGATGGGGCGTGGGGTATATAACAATCACAACTTCACAGTCTATTACGTGTAAGAAAATATGATTTTAGGTGGTAAGGCTGCAAGATAAGTAGATGTGGAAGTAAGTAGTTCTATGAGTCACTCACGATTCAGTGACCAAATTATATGCGTAATAATCTACTCTTATAGGGCGGGGGGGGAATCAATAACGACCTGAATAATGTAGTGGTAGAGTCTGTGACTTTCATAGTGAATGATTGTAGCAACGCTGTGGTATACATAACTAGAAATCTAAGTCCTACTCTGATACCTCCTAACATTGGTTAGTAAAGTAAAAGAATGTTCGATATCCCAAGGAAAGATGATTGCATACACTTTACAACTGTCCTGTTAGCTGCATCTAATAATAACATGATGTCACTTTTTCGTATAACTAGACATTAAAAACAGTAATCTATTCCAGCAGTACGCACCCACTGAAGTTCGGACCCAGGACCTTTTGGTTGCTACACGAGCTCGTAGACCATTCAGCCTCTGGGCCCCGACCCAGTGGTTCTCGAATTACAACTCCCGCCAATTCGTGATATACTTAGCGCAGCCTATGTCATGGGCGAGTAAATATCCTCTTGCATGACTTAGTAGACGTCGCTGATTACTAATTCTCAACAGAACCCCGGGTACTTCCTGTGTTAGAGCCAGTCACTAGCGAGCATCAAATTAATTGTCTAGTGTTGGTTTGCAGGGATTTGATCGCGAGCTGGTATCAGTTAGAGAACCATTGGAAAATCAGCACTGGAGTACTGGACAGATGTTTCGCCCCAGTGGCTTAATGGTCTACGAGCTCGCCTCGTAACCGGAAGGTCCTGGGTTCGAACCATGGCGACGAGTGCGTACCGCTGAAGAGTCTCAAACTGGGGCGAAACAGCTGTCTAGTACTCGCTGTTGGTTTTCCAATGGTTCTCTTACTGATGTTAGCTTGTGACCAATCCTGTAACTAATCAAATCCCCAAGTTTTTTGTCTAATAGTCTAGAGTGATTTGCATCAGTACATTGTGTCCCATTATACGACGATTTTAGGAATCAATCACAAAGTGGTTCCTAGTACTTGGGTTATCGTTGTTATCGTAATGTTGTCTCCGTTATGTATTATCATATTATTATTATTGTTTACTTGGGTTCCGAGTGGAACATAGCGTCAACACAGCACATCTCCACTTTGTCCCGTTCTCTATAGTCCACGAATGCCTATAATCTCTCATCTCCTCCTCAGACGGTTTCCATATCACCCTCGGATGACCGCCTCGTCGTTTCTCATTCGGATGGCACCTAAGGGCCTGGCACGCGATGTTGCCTGACAGTTTCGTCGGCGTGTGTTCGATCGACCTATATTTTCTTCGACATATTTGTTAAGCAATAAATAGATTCTCGGTTGGTTCGTTCCAAGAGTTTCTTGTTGCTAATTCTTTCTGTCCGTTTGATCTTCACTATGTAGCGTCGCTTTATGAGGATTGCAATAGTTAAGCTTCCAGTCTATGGCCTAAGTTACTTAAGACATGTCTCTAATCTCGCTTCTCTACTGTTTACTTCAACGTGTTATTTTATCAGAGAGAGGTTAAGGTAGAATCAGTAGTCCAAAGAAGTTGTTGGTACTGATTCTTGAAATGCAGAGCTATAACCCATTGGTCTAGGCACTTAACTTTCAACCATTTGGTCACAGGTTCTAAGCCCACTCCATATACACTGAAGTTCAGACGGCCAGGTAGTATCATCAGCATATGACACAATAGGTGTGGTTCATGCTCAGCTGCATGCATATATGCAAGTGATTGACGGGTGACACTTAACAACCCATATTGTGGTTATTCGCCGTTGGTCTTGGCCGTATACGTTAACGTGGTTCACATCCTGTAGTTATAGTCGGAATCAAAGTTTAAAGCATCTATGTCATCTCACTCGTGTAAATGTGAAGGTGGGCAAACTAAGACTTGGTCATATTATCTAATAGTTATCGCCTTAAATCTTAATCGGTAACTTATGTATTGAAAATATATTTTACTTAATACGGTGTAATTTATGAAATGACTACATAGAACTAGGCAGAATTTTTAAAATGTTATCCGTATTATTATGACCAAATCCGTCTGAAATATACATCTTACTTGAGTATTTCCTTATGTATCGTCTTTTAAGATGAGTTGGTGACTGACTGACTGGTTTCAACATAGAACTTTGCACAGAAGTGCACCGGTTCAACTCGTCACACTCTTTCGTTCTACAGCACAAAGCAAGAGTAGAGAATAAGGACAGATTCACCAGTAGAGAGAGAGAGATAATAAAGAGAAGTGTGAATGAGGGAGAAAGAAAAGTAGTATGGAAGAACAATAGAGTTGAGTGCTTCTGCGCTATTCATTGAGAACGAGGATTTCAAGCCATATCACTGATAATCTCCAGCCGTCACTCATTCTTACCATTCCGCGGACCCCAACCAGTCAGTCAGAGAGTCTACATCTCCTTACATGGTTGGTTGACTTAAGGTAACTGTTATAGATTTGATTGATTGATGAAGCCGTGTTTTGGTTTGACCACCATTCACAACTCTTTTCCAAGCTGATGCTATGTCAGTCAGCTAACACTGCCCATCGTCGAGGAAGGCGATGTCCTGGTGTGTATGTGTAACACATATTCTAACCATCTCTTCCAATCGATGTAATCGCTTCACAACCTCGTCGATTGATTTCCCTTCCCACCTACCTAACAGTCGACCGAAGCCTAACTTCAATATTGCTCACCCACCAGTACTCAAGCGCTCACTGCCGTACATAACATCACCACCCACAATTACTTAATCTAGTTTTTTTTTCCATCTCCTTTTTATAAAAACAAGGTTATTCATTTCATGAATTATTGAGTGTTTTTAATACTTTTCTTCTGTATTCTATTTTAGATGCTGTAAAACGTGCAGTGTTTGGAACATTTTCACAGTTTTTCACATCTGTGCAACAAGGTTGGTAGGCATAATGTTTGGTTATGTCATGTCATATGATGAAAGGTTGCATGTGTTCTTGTTGGTGTTTTTTCTGTTGTTTCTTTTTTTTAACTAATTTTCTTTTTATGCCTTGTTATGAATAATTTATTTCATTTGTAATTTGCTTATTACAAAGTATAAAGCATTAAAATTGTTGTATGTAGGCTATTATCAATATATTAGTTTTTTCCTCCCTCCCTCCCACACACTCTCTCTATTGAACTAAACTTCTTTTGTCCCCTTTATATTATGCAACACACACACGCACACACGAGCCTTCTCATTGTTGTTTTACCCATCTATCTATCATAAAAGTTTGAACACAGATTGATATCAGTTAGAGAACTAATGAAAACCAGCCACACGGAGTACTGGACAGCCAGCTGTTTTATCCTAGTTCTTTTAGGAATCATCGGTAGTACGCACCCACCCACCGCCAAGGTTTGAACCCAGGACGTTCCGGTTATACGGCAAGCTAACTCGTATACCATTCAGCCACTGGGACCCGATTCAATGGCCAACCAGCCTATGGATTCTAACTTCTACCAATTCCTGATGCATTTAGCGCGACTGGCTGGCTGGATTCAACATAGAACTTGGCACCGAAGTGCAGCACTTCGAGTTGCCACCTCCCAAAAGGCACACAAACGTAGACAAGAAAATGAGTGAAGAGAATCAATAGAGTTTTGACAAGTATAAAGGTGAAACAGAATGAGTAATGGTAGAAACGAATATGAAAGATTACAGAGACTGAATACATCTGCGCCATTGACAACAATTTTGAGCCATGTCACCTAGTGTCTCCAGCCATTGATTCTTACAGTCCCGAGGGCGGGCCCCAACCCGGAAGTCTGCATCTCCCTACCTGACCCAGTTTAACTGTCAGGGATTTCATGGATTGATTGATGCCATGTTTTTGTTTGGCCACCACTTACTCTTTTCCAACCTGCACCTATATCAGCTAGTAATGCCCGTCCGTCGGGGGAGGCGATGGTTAGGCATGCGCAGCACGTGACCTAGCCATCTCAATCAATGTAACTTTATAGCCTCTTCGATTGATTTTCCCTATTTGCCCAACACTCTACGCCTAACGTCAACATTACTTACTTATTATAAAACCTAACGTGAGAAAGAGGTCGTAGACATCGATGATATAAAACAGTCAACCCTTTCATGTCTTCCGCTCTCAATGGCCACGTCTCACCGCCATAGAGAAGGACGGAGCGAACTGCTGAGCAGTATACACGTCCCTTGGTTGATAGCCGGATGTTACGCCTACGCCAGAGACGGTGTAAGTTAGTGAAAGCAACCCGAGCTTTCTGGATCCGTGCTGTGATTTCGTCACCAATCAATCCGTTGGTGCTGATACAACTTCCCAAATCGGTGGGAACTTTATCCTCACACTTGTTGACTGGATGAATCTCACTGGTCACGACTTCACACTGAGAACTCCAGGAAACTCTGTCCTGTTTCAATTCACTGGCGTGCATCAGATTAATTTTCAAGAGTTTGGTTTGTAAAGATTAGATTTTTTTGTACGAGTTTGACCACGGATTGATATCAGTTAGGGAACCAACCATTGAAAACCAGTCACAGGGAGTACAGGATAGCTGTTTCATCCTAGTTCTTTTGGCAATCATTGGCGGTACGCACCCACTGAGTGGTTCATAGTATTTTGTTTTGTTTTTCGTAATTCCTCTTTGATTTTACTATTTCTATTTCTTTTTTGTGTATTCGTTTTTTCAGACTCTACTACAAATTATTACAGTCCACTTGAAATTGTGCCAACATCAGAGCATTATACAATTATCAGTTATCTGTTCAGTCAACAAGGTTTTACAAATCGTCTATGTAAAGATTCCCTGGCCTATTTAACAGTTAATCAAATTGAAGGTTTATGGCAATTGAAATCCTGCCTAATATCATTGAATGAAATTTACTCCCTATACTATAATAATCATAATAATAATAATATTCAAACATCATCGAATGATAATATTGGCGGTTTTCTCCTCTGGTTACAGACAATTCATATCTCCAAGTTGGATAAATGTCAACAAGCTGTGAAACAATTGAATTTAACACTTTTCTTCAATTATCAACCATCAGATTATGATTATTATTATTATTATGATATAGACAAGAGTATTCTACACATGTGTATGGCTTATCAGCATATACAAAGAAATAGAACTAGGCAACAGGTGAATTTCATTGGTTCACAAGACTTCGCATTTAATGATTTTAATAATATTAATGGTGATGTTGATGAGGAGGAGAGTTGTGGTGTTTGTTATTCTGTTAATTGGCAGTGGGCACAGTTGAATAAAATTTTGTGGAATAGACCTACGACAAACAAGGTGAGTTTGCTTCTGTCTGTGTGTGTTTTACAGTGTGGTTTTTTTATTGTATCAGTGACTTTTGTTTGAGTGTTGTTTTGTATTCACAGAAGAAAACCACAGGCTTCATAGATATTTGGGAATTATCCAAGCGGGGAATTAATGCTATCCACTAAAAACAGTATTATGTTTTTATTATTGTTATTATTCCCTTGGGTTTCAGTGGCACTTCTCCATTTCATTCTGTTCTCTGAGGTTAGGCGTTGAGGTTTTGGGTAAGATATGTGATACTCATACACACCAAGACATTGCTGCCTTCCTCGACGACAGGCAATCTTAGCTACCTGACATAGGATCAGGTTGGGAAAGAGTTGTTAGTGGTGGTCAAACTAAAACACGGCTTCATCAGTAGTCAGTCAAATCCATATCTTCTATAATTGGTTTGTAAGGATTAGTTTGGTTTTTATGAGTTGATCACGGATTGGCATCAGTTAGAGAACCATTGGAAACCAGTCACAGGGAGTACTGGACAGCTGTTTCATCCTAGTTTGGTTCGAATCCCATTGGGCGCGTACTGCCGATGATTCCCAAAGAACTAGGATGAAACAGCTGTCCAGTACTCCCTGTGACTGGTGGTTTTCAATGGTTCTCTAACTGATATCAATCTGTGCTCAAACTCGTAAAAACAAATCCATATCTGTTAGTTTGAGCCAGCTTGCAACGCATGAAGGTGTAGACTGTCTGACTGGTTGGGATCTTCAGGACTCTAAGAACCAATGGTGATACGGCTCAAAATCCTAGTTCTCATTGAATAGCTCAGATGCATTCACTCTTTGTCATTTATCACATCCAATAAAACTCTCTTGTTCTTCCAACATATTACTATTCTTATACCCTGACTCACATTTCGGTCTATTATCTTTTCATTTGAATCTCTCTTTACTCTCTTTTCTTGCCGTGTTTTGTATGGAGGGAGTGTGGCAAGTTGGACTTGTGCACATGTGTGCAAATTTCTATGTGGAAACCAGTCAGTCAGTCCATCAGTCAGAACGCAGCTTTAGAAGCATATCTTGATTTCATTTCGTTCTCTTCATTCTTTTTTCAACTAGCCCCATAATTGCCCATATTTTCTTATTTCCTCCTCACAGGATCTACCTCATGTGGTTGTTTGACACTCATCATGTCTTTCCCCTTTCGCGTTTCACTTGAGGGTCTTGCCGAGCTCACGATGTCGCTGAACGATCTCCTCAGTCTGTGTATGTGCATTCCATCTTCATTTAATTCAGCATATTTGTTAAGTGATAGGTTCTTGGTTGATTCGCTGTACTATAGACTTCCTCGTTGGTAATTCTCACTGTACATCAGTACGCTGCGAAGGCACTGTTATTATTATTTATTATTGTTCCCTTGGGTTCCAAGTGGAACATTGGACTGGCTTCAGCAACACATCTCCACTTTCTTCCATTTTCTGCCATCCTCTTCAGCCTGGTCGATGATTACCCATAGTCTCTTATCCCCTCCTTTCTCGATCTTCTCCGTGTCACCTTCGATGTGATGACCCGCTTGTTACTTCCCATTGGGATTCCACTCGAGCGATTGCCTGCATTGCGTGCGATGTTATTCGATGGCCTCAACGTATGCCCGATGCATCTCTGTTCTCTCCTATATATATATATATATATATATATGTATATATATATATTGAACTACAGGTTATTGGTTAGTTTGTTCCACTGCAGAGTTCCTTGTGCGGAGCGAAGAAAGTTGTTCATAAAAGTCTGCAGCTGGTTGTTGGAAATACTCTTCGTTCGGCGCTGGTCAAGTTTTTGACCCAAATAGAAGCACTGACTGACTGACTTCACATTTGTGTTGAAAATACGAATCTTCTTCTTTGTGCTGAGGCGGAGTACAAAAGATTCTAACACTGATTTCACATTGATGATGATGATGTCTGCCTTGTCTTTCCGGTTCTAGCTGGCTGGCTTTGACATCTTCATCCGTGTCCTATGCATGTAGTTGAAACGATTCCTCCTGGATAAGTGAAGGAAATGATCTCTTTTTGAAACTTCTTCCGTTAATGGTGATCGGTGCCTGTTCGTTGTTGCTTTGATGGTTGGTTACAGCTAAGACAGCTATTGAAAGCATTTATTTCCCGATACGAATTTAAAACAAGCAACAGAGGTTAATAAAGCAGGATGATTTAATGAATTCATCAAATTTTGGTCGAAATCCTCTTCAGCTGAATACTCTACATACATACATGGTGTCCGTCAAGGATGTCCACTTTCCCCTTTTCTGTTTAACTTCATCATAGATATGCTAATGGAAGTATCCTTAACTGAACTTAATGACGTAGGAATCGACTTGTTACCAGGGAATAGTCTTATAGACTTAGAATACGCAGACGACATAGTCCTGTTAGGGGAGGACGCTGACAAAATGCAGAGTCTTCTGAACACCTTGAGCAGCAATCTTCGTATGTTTGGCATGCGATTCGCCCCTGTGAAATGTAAGATGCTGCTACAGGACTGGACTACGTCAACTCCTAGCTTAGTGACAGGGAGTGAAGTGATAGAACATGTTGACCACTTCACCTATTTGGGAAGTTGTATCAGCACCAACGGATTGATTGGTGACGAAATCACAGCACGGATCCAGAAAGCTCGGGCTGCTTTCGCTAACTTACACCATCTCTGGCGTAGGCGTGACATCCGGCTGTCAACCAAGGGACGTGTATACTGCTCATCAGTTCGCTCCGTCCTTCTCTATGGCGGTGAGACGTGGCCATTGAGAGCGGAAGACATGAAGAGATTGTCTGTTTTTGACCACAGATGTTTACGATCTCTTTCTCACGTTAGGTGGTATAATAAGGTAAGTAATGTTGACATTAGGCGTAGAGTGTTGGGCAAAGAGGGAAAATCACTCGAAGAGGCTATGAAGTTACATAGATTGAGATGGTTAGGCCACGTGCTGCGCATGCCTGACCATCGTCTCCCCCGACGGGCATTACTAGCTGATATAGGTGCAGGCTGGAAAAGAGTAATTGGTGGCCAAACAAAAACATGGCATCAATCCATGAAATCCCTGACAGTTGTAGTGAGTCAGGTAGGGAGATGCAGACTTCCGGGTTGGGGCCCTCGGGACTCTAAGAATCAATGGCTGGAGACAATAGGTGACATGGCTCAAAATCGTTGTCAATGGCTTATGCAGATGTATTCAGTCTCTGTAATCTTTCATATTCCTTTCTACCATTACTCATTCTGTTTCAGTCTTATACTTATCTAAATTCTATTGATTCTCTTCTCTCCTTCTCCCGTCTACCTTTGTGTGCTATTTGGAACGTGGCAACTCGAACTGCTGCACTTCGGTGCCAAGTTCTATGTTGAATCCAGACAGACAGACAGACGGATATATGCACACTGTTAAAATTACATTGGGAGATATAAGATTGATAAGCAAATAAACTACATTGAATTAATCATGCAGAGAGACAGGTGCGAATGTTTTCCTGAGTTCATGTTCAAATAGATAAGGTGAGAGGGAATATGAGAGATTAAAATTAAGGTAAACAATTATTACTGTGTTGACTATATCAAAGCGTTTAAAGTTATTTATCGTATTTCACTCAACCTCTCGCGTGGTCTGCGAGTACAACTTTTACATACAGCAGAGGCAATCAGAATTCATCTGAACAAGCTAAATCTGTCTGTTCAAAAGAAGTTTGTACGACCCCTTTCTTTGCCATGGCCAACTACATGATATGTATTCAGTTTTCAAGACGATTTTTCCTATCCCCTTTTAAGTATCTTTTGACTTTGTTACTTTTTTTACTATTCTAACTAATTCTATTAACTTGTTTGTATTTCACGTAATTTTTCTGAGTCATCCTATTCTTCGTAGTCATCATTGTTGTTTTACAAATTTCTTCATTGCTGTAATATTTGTTGCTAATGCCTAAGAATCAGCTCATCTTGAATCACGTAATTAATTTTCACCTCTCCTATAGAACTTGGATATACCTTGTTACTAACATCTATTAGTTAATTGTTTTGATGACTTTTGACCTCTTAATTTTCCCTCCACGCCTATATCTAAAAATGCCAAAATGATTGAAAACAGGTGAATACAAAGTGTCAAAAACCTCAATAACAAAACATCTTGTGGACTATGGACATGATATCAACGCTGTCAAGTCATTCACTATTGATTCACTATTGTCAGCAGACAAAGAAACAAGATGCTTGCAATTGTGGAGGAGGCTTGTGCAATTCAAGTTTATAAACCAGGTTTCTGTGTACAAAACGAGATGGTCATCACTCTGCTTTCACTTATTATTTTTTAGTCTTTCTTGTCATTTTTTACTATCTTGGTGTGTGGAAGTAAGGTGAGGCGTCGTGTAGTGGTTCACTCTGTTGTCTAATGAATTCCAACAACTGAGCCCCATAGTGTTTGTCTGACTACACAACAAAAGAGAAAAATGTGTACTTGATAAACTCTAAATCTAAGGTGATTTGTTTTAGATAGCCTGTGCTTTAAAACACGTTTGGATGGGCTTTTAAATGTCTACATTGTTAGGTGTACTTCCGGAGCAATAGTAATAATAATAATAGATAGGAAAAAATCATTTACACGTTTAAATTTTAATACCATTCTATCTATCTACTTATCTATGTGTCCTTAATATAATACATGTATTAATAACTAGTAGTTCACATGTTGTATTGTCTTTTTCGCGGTTCCATTTGATTGATATTGATTAATTTATGTGGAAATGGCGTAAATGAGATTATACCTTGGTAAGGTCATTCATTCATTGTTATATTAATGAATTGGCTCATATGTGGTTATATGGTTGATTATATGAATGTGTGTGTGTGTGTGCGTTCTTGTGTGCGTGTCTCTGACATGCATTCAACACTGTGTTCGGAAATACAAAACAGTTGTCAGTGTCTATTAAAGTACTTTAAATGGAGGACTTCACCATTATTTCTTTGTTCATCAATGTAGTAGCCTAGTAAGTATTGATATATGGAAACAATAAGCAAGAAATAGGCGGATAGCCAGGGAATTATCATGGCAAACGATGAATGCATTCTCTCTCTCTGAAAAAAATTCAGCAGCACCAAACACTAGATTAGATACATGACATTAGTTACTACTACTACCTAGTGTCTAGTGTACGTCGGTGGCACAGCGGTGAAATGCTCGCCAACCACACCTCATGTGGTTTGGGGTTCGATCCCCAGCGGACAAGGCACTCCTTTACCTCTGTAAGCCAGTAATAAGACTGGTGAAGAGAGGAGGTTGGGTATAAGGCTAGCAACCCCATCCCGTAAAAACTAGCACCACTGCTGGTGAAACTCCAAAGCTCTAGCTTGAAGCCCCATGTTCCACCTCAGTGTCCAATTAAAAGTATCCATTGCAGTCGTATAGGAGATCAGTTGCAAACCTGAACAGCTCAGTAGTAATGTCTTTAACTAGAACGATATGTGATCCGGATTAAAATCTCAGAAGAGGGCTTGATTTCATGCAACATTGCCGATACGTCTCTCTGATAGGTGACAACAAGCATGCAGCACAGATCCAAGGCTTATTTTTTCAGCCATTTAACGTACAGTTCGGAATGTGTAACACATTTTTGTGTCAATGAAATTTTAGACGATAATTGGTTTTTCACTTTTATCTTCTTTCCTATAGACTGAGGTCTATTGTCCTCAGTTTCAAAGTTGCCTGGGTGACTAAATACTAGAAATTTATATAAGTATAAAACTTGGGCACTGTGCTGGTAGCGTATATCTCCATTATAGATAAGATTTTATTTTGATAAATCACACAGTATTATACAGTAAGTAATATTGACTGATGAACACGTTTCGAGCACAAACTATTGTCACTCATAATCATATCAAGTTACTCACTCAACTTTTTTCCTTCATTTATATGCATGTATGGAATCGATTAGATATTGGATTCAAAATCAATATAGGATAATGTACATTCAGAAATAATAATAATATGAGCGTTATTGATCAGTTACAATCAGATGGGAAATAAGACGAGTTTTTATAGTCAAAATAAGTAACTTGTTAGAATGTTGTGATGCACTTCAATGGAAAGAGAATTTTACGATTATTTATCATCCTCCTCTGATTTGACTGACTGGTGGTAATAATGTCTTCCACATATCTGGTATTTGCATTGAGTCATTTCTTTTACATATGTTGTGTGGTTTTATGTTGATGCATGCAGTGCAATTGCTCAGCTTTTTTCTAAATTACTTATCTTCACGGGTGGGATCAATCATTCTTCCCTTAGCTGAATTCTTATGTTCTGACAATCTGACTACCCGCGGCCTACTAGTTTGACCTATGTAATTTACCACACTCACAGTCATTACAAGGTATTTTGTAAATTATATTATTTTGTTTAATTGGGTCCACCGAGTCTTTTAGCCTACAAAGTTTGTCTCTGAGTGAGTTTGTAGGTTTGAATCCCACCCTAATTCCTGCTTTATTAAGAATCCTACGAAGGAACTTAGATGTTCCTTCTTTATATGGTGTAACAGTAGGTGACTTATATATACTGAGAAGACTCTTTTGTGTATAAATCCGTATTTTCTTCATTTCTTTGTCACTTATAATAGACTGCGTTTCACAAGTGATGGGGTTGGCAATGATATCAATATCCTACCACTTCTTTACTAGTTTGTTGAGGTCATCTCATATGTTTCCCTCTCTCTTCTTCTCATGTTTTTTTTCTCTTTTTTTTTCAGTGTTCCAAATTACCGTCTTTTCTGTTTTCAAGTGAACACACTGATTTGTCATCATCTATGCCGGATTCAGTTTATTCAGATACTACTGAGGAGAATGATGAAAAGATACTAGTTGATGATTTTCAATCTACTGATAATTTTATTATCGGTAGAAATATGAAGTCATCGGATCATCGATTACCGACGCGTAAAATTGATCGTCAACATCCTAATTTAGCAGTAGTTGTACCAGCTGATTTAGGCGGTTCACGAAGATCTACGGCTTACATGCGTCTAAATAATCGTGTTCGTATTATTGAGCGTAATGTTTCTGTGAGTATGAGGTAAGCAATCTGTCTTATTACACTTTTTGTTATTTCCTTTTGTAAATTTTTGTTATTTTCCTTCATCAGCCTTTTGATATGGCCACACACACTCAAGGCTAAATGTAAACCATGTGTAGTGTTCAATCGTTGAGATATATTCACTCCTTGACTGTTTATTTTATATTTGTATTAAATTCCACTGAAATTCAAGTTGACGTATAAGTTTTCTGCACTAATCTATCGTGAGTTCTGAGTGATTTGGATGTCTACAGTCATATGCGGAAAGCGTAGTAGTGATTCTGTGGTGAGAGCTGTCTGCAACCCGAAAATTGTAGACAACAATTTACGCGTCAGTGTTTACGTCCCGAATCGGGGTTATGAGAAAAACAAAGCCCAACCTTGAGGAAGTCAACAACCAATCACAGCAGACTTAGCGTGGGTGGATACGATTCGCAGGCATATATATATATATATCACCGGACTGTCTAAGAAACAGCAACAAAAGGATGACAGAATAACCTTCAGTAGGAAAACAACCAATCAGAAGAGGTTGCTTCTCGGCTAACAATAACGCTGATAATAATGTACATAAAAATCTATAAATATCTGTTGATTTTCTCAATAAGGGATCTGTTTCCTGGACCTTGTCTTCTGTCGTTACAGTTCTACCTAAATTCTCAAGGTTGAATAAGTACCTTAAATTGGAGTACATTAACTGATGAAGCTACAGCCGTACTGGCTATTACATAGCACATTAGATATGGAATAGATTGAAATCCTTGCAACAGAAAGCGCATTAATATTGGATAACCATAGAGGAGGCCAGGAAACAACTATCTGAGCGCCAGTCACATATGACCGGTTTGAAGTTGTATCCGTATGAAGAGGTCATTATTCACGACTGCATAGTTATCTGGGATGGATGATTTCCTGGGTCCTTGTTTTCTCCCTCCACTTCTCAGAGTGCCCGGTCGACAACTGCTACTTTGTCGTGGTGGTGGGGTTTGAGTACCGCATCGAACCAACCAGCTAGACTGGCTGCGACTTATATTCCTGTCTGTCAAGAAGATTGTTTGGATAGCGGTTAGACTAAAAGCAGTTGGCATGGGATACATAAGCTCCAGAATCGAATCGGATCAAACGGCGTATGAGCCTGTATTGGTCACCGGCAACCATGGGAAGGTAGCTGCTGGCGCTGCTCCTCTGCCCTGCAGATTAGATTTCAAGTCAAAGGCTCGATGGGTAGTCCTTTAAGACAATCACCTACTTCAGCCTGGGCGTTCGGGCAGTATCTAAGTCCTCATGCAATTTGTGTGGCACATCTTCTTGGTGCCATATTCTAAGTTTTTCTTTTCGGGTGTTGGTTTGTTGGGATTTGATTGGTTACAGGATTTTCATCATGAGCTGACATTAGTTAGAGAACCATTGGAAAACCTGGGAGTACCGGACATCTGTTTTGTCCTAGTTTGGGACTCTTCAGCAGCACGCACCCACCGGGATTCGAACCCAAGACCTTCTGGTTACAAGGCGAGCTCGTATACCAGTGGCTTAATGATATACGAGCTCGCCTTGTAACCAGAAGGTCCTGGGTTCGAATCCCGGTGGGTGCGTGCTGCTGAAGAGTCCCAAACTAGGACAAAACAGATGTCCAGTACTCCCAGGTTTTTCTTTTTGTTTAAATAGATAAATAACTTACCACAGTGCGTAGGAATCATGGCTGGCTTATTGGGTTGTAACGAACACACACCCCTACTCGCCAGCAGTACTAATTCCCCGTCAGACCTGCAACACAGTGATACTGACTTAAACTGTAATGTTTGTCTGTCTAAAACTTTGCTACACTTTGATGCACTAATTACATTTGAATTATATTTTTGTTAATACCTGAATACGAGATTGTTGACGAAATTGATCAAATTTTCTTTGTTTATTCTGTCTATGATCAAAATAAACAGTTTTGATAGACTTCTCAACAATCTCAAAACAAATATCTGTTATGCAATGAATGCATAATAGATGAATTTTTGAGCATAGCCTTTGGTATTTTTAAGAAAAAAATTATTATTTAAATTGATTGATTAAATGTAAAAGATTTCAGTTCAAATTGTCAATTGGCTTATGAAGTCAGGCTTTAATTCGTTTGCATCTGAGGCATGATTACTGAGCAAATAATATTCTTTTCGATAACTTTATCATAAGGTTCTACAGCCATATATACATAGTGTAGTAATGAATGAACTAAGGTTATTAACAACATAAATTCTCTTTAAATAACATCGAATCAATAATAACAATAGTACTAATAGTAATAGAGAAGATTTGTAGCTTAGGTGGATGATTTGCAATTAATAATGTACTCTGAGCTGGTTGGTTTAGTTGCGGAGCTTTCGCGTCCCGCTTATAGACACCATCTTCAATGCAATATTTAGCATAAAGTGAATTGATTTAAATTTCTTCATGAATGATATAATTGCATCTCCCGGTAACCATCTTTACATATGTATTGACCATTTTCTATTGACTTGGATTTTAAACTTTCTGGTCACCTGATTTACTTTTTATTAGTTGGTAAATTTCGTCTATATTTATGTTTGTATTTACTGTACATTGCTACTTCGTAAACATGTATATTGATATTCTCTTAGTCTTTTTGTACATCTATGCCTCATTGTCCTTTTTTATTCCTTTACGTTCCTAGTGGAACATAGGGCCTTATGCTAGAGACTTGAAGTTTCACTAGCAGTGGTGTCTATTTTTATGGGATGGGGTTGCTAGCCTTATGGTCAACCTCCGCCCTTCACAAGTCTTATTACCGGCTTAGTGAGGTAAAGGAGTGCCTTGTCGGCCAGGGATCGAACCGCGGACCACACGAGGCGTGGTTGGTTAGCGAGCTTTCTGCCGCTTTGCCACCGACACACCTCATAGTCTTAGTACATGACAAATCTATTCTGGATAGTTGAATTTCTACTAATTATTTTCATCATCGTCAGCCTTTTACATAGTGTACTTTCCGTTGTATCATTATGAGATATGCTCTATGTACTGTATATATTCTTCTCTTTCAAAACAAACAAACAAAAAAACAATAACAAACAATCAGGTATTTAGAAGAATTGAGTCAAAGTTATCGTCGTCAAATGGAACGTTTATCGCGGTCATTCAATCTTACTTATGCTTGGTTAAAGGTTACGGCTCATGGTGCTGAAGAACGTGATCGTCAACAACAGGTAAATTTAATTCTTATTTATTTACTTATTATACATTCATGTATTATTTCTGTAAATAATTTCTACTACTTTTTGTAAATTGAAATTAATTGGGAAATTTATGACGAATTTCATCTGAGATGATTTCCTGACGAATCAACGTCAGTTGCAGGATCATTGAAAACCAAGAGATACTGGGCAACTGTTTCATCCTGGTTGGCAGCTCTTCATCGGCATGCACCCATCACTCCACCAGAGATGGAACCGCAGTACCTTTAGGTCGACCATTTGGCTGCTGGATGATTACAATTTGGTTTGATTTGACCCATACATTTTAACTTCCACAACTTCTTCATCTGCTGGCATTTTTTGATCAGGGTTCATTCCTTGCTACCTTTGATTATTTCCCTATGGTTGAATAGTGTTCAGTTTTGATGTGTATTCTTTGTTTTCTGTTGAATATAGTAAAAGGTGTTTTTGGGTTAAATAAAAGGCCTTTATTTTTAAGTTGTATTGATTTTCGATATATCTAATGAATTTCCTTATGTTTAACTTATGATTTTATTCTCATATTAAAGTTGAGTTACAGGAAGTTAACTATGTATCTACTATGAATTGATTATAATTCAGCATATGTTTTTCTTAACCGGAAGTAGTTGTTCAATCTCGCTTCTACTATTCGAAGCCGTATGTTTTTGTTTTAATCCGCCAGCTGATCATCTGGGACATTAATCAATGGCTAAAGCTCAGCCGAAATCGTATTGTTTTCAGTTATTAATGAGAACCGTATTCTATGTATCAACTTTATAGTATGATTGATAAACTGGTTCACACGGATTTGACTTGATGATTGGTTACAGGATTTCATCATGTGGGAGTACTGGACAGCTGTTTCGTCAGCCTAGTTTGAAATTGTTCAGCAGTACGCATCCACCACCGAGGTATGAACCCAGGACCTTCTGGTTATAAGGCGAGCTGAAAGTAATCAGTCACCATAACGTCGAGCGATTGGAGTCAACTAATAAGCAGTTCCACCCCCTGTGTATATTGATACTTGTCAACGGAGAGTGTATTTTTACCTCGAAGTTTTCAAACCATAATTAGTATATTGTGTCTTCTAGCTAATAAAAGTATCTATTTACGTGTAGATTGGAACTCCACTTTGTTAACAAGTTACGGTTTTAACTATGTATTTTATTAGAAAACGAACTACGTACATTTTCTTTTTTATTCCTTTACGTTCCCAGTGGAACATAAGGCTTCAAGCTAGAGGATTGAAGTTTCAGTAGCAGGGTGCTTTTATTTATTTTTGAATTTTTTTTACGGGATAGGGTTTCTGGCCTCATGCCCAACCTTCTGTCTATACCAGTCTTAATACTGGCTTAGTGAGGTAAAAGAGTGTGCCGGTCAGGGTTCGAACCCCGGACAACCTGCGTCGTGAGCGAGCACTCTACCGCTGTCCCACCGACGCACCAGCTACGTACATTATGGGCATTAAAAGAGATGCTCTATTCAGTATCCCATAGTTTGTCCTGGGGTTTATATAAGTACTGCTCGTTCGCCTAAACTGAAACAGGCGGTCATCTCTTCCGAGACCACCCCCGAGTCTTTGACTTGAAGTCTGTCACACAAGGCATTGAAGCAGCGCCAGGAGGTACGTTCTCATGGTTGATGGTGGTCAAAACAGGTTCACATACGCCATTCACTCTGTTTGGGTTGTGAAACCCCTATGCTCCATAGGTTTAGAATCAGAATTCTCCAACTATCCTATGTAGATCAGTCTATTCAGCAGCACCGGTTTTATCTGCCAGACATTCGCATTCGCACTTAAATTTGTTGTTGTTGAAAGACACACCCACCACATGAATAGGACTTACCTGGCAGAGTCTGTTAATGCGCTTGGCCACACGAGGGCATTTTGAGAGGCAAACAGAAGTCTGTCCACCCTCAGGTGTACCAGATCGTTTACAGGCTGCGCGGGGGTGGGTGGTGGTAACAAGTTGTGGCTGCTTTCAGTTATCGAAAGGTAAATGAATAAACAGTAGTGGACAATCAGATGTTCTCTTCGTAAATTACAACCTTCCGTGGGTGTTTTTGTTTACCTTAATTACATCTTTTTAGCTAATGATTGTGTGTATTGTGAGTGGTAGATGCGATTTATTGAATGAGGCTGTGCGTGTGTGTATGTATGTATGTATGTATGTGTGTGAGCGAGAGAAGGCAAAGAGCATAGGTACTGTACTTTATCGTAAATAGCATATTTTGTATATATGAATACTTGGAATCAATGAAACCTGTTTAGCGAGCATGCGCACATCTTCTAGACTGGCCTAGTTAGAAAGAAAAAAAAACAGACAGCGGTCAAAAACAAACAGAAAACAAATAAAACAAACTTGTTTCGAAATATGTCATTATGGCTGTACACTTACAAAGCGTCGCCTAAATTAGAATCGATCATATGCGTTACTATTATGAATCAATTTCTTAGTATTCCGCCCATTGTTTGGCACTATGTTTTCTCCATATAACGTGAAATAGAAACAAACAATTCAATGCTCCTACTTACTTTACTTTTACTTTACTTCGGCTGTCTCCTACGGGAGGATGAGCCGGCTTCATGAACATCTCGAATCATCGCTGCCCAGGCGCGGCGATCTGATGCAAGAGAGCTCATGAAGTTTCATGGGAATTTGGTACGAGTGATGTCCCCAGAATCGCTCGGCCTTTTGTTTGAGAGTGCAGCTCTAGCCTTTACACAACCAAGTGTGACGTACAAGGCAGTAGGAGTGGAGTAGGGAGTCCACTATCCATTGGCAGCCGGTGACCGGAGTTCGGTTCATACGCCTTTTTGAATGGGGCCAGACATCCAGGACATCCAACAAGCCCTTTGTCCATACGTCTGCCGGTGAGCTCCAGTGAGCTTCATACGCCGGTCGTTGGAGGTTTGGAGTCAGGGTTTAGCCATCTCCCCTAGACTGTCATCCAATGGACAGTCAACCCGGTGAAGAGCGCCGGGCATCCACTTTCGCCCTCTCACTTTGGTGAAGAACACCTCCGCCACGTGAAGGCAGTGAGTAGGACTTCCTCAGGAGAGGCTATATGGTAGCATTTCAAGAGGTGTGCGGATGGGTGGCCAACCCGCAGCGCAAGGCAACCACCCCCGACCATCCTGAGGCTTTGGAGGCTTCAGTGCTCCTCTTCGCACACAAGGACATTAGTTTAATTTAATTTAAAATTTTTAGATTTTCCCGTCGATTGATTGGACCCGAAGTGCTTGGTCTCAGGTTGACATGTCGACTTCTTATGCATCCAGTTGACGAGTCCCAAATAGGACGAAATGTGCATCCTGGATTCCACTGCTAGTCACCATCCACCAATTAAATTCTAATTAAATGCCCAGACAAACTTGTATCAAAATAATTTGTAAAGGATAATCTAACACATGTGTGTCGCATTTAAACAAACTTCTACGTTCACATCTATCTTTCAATTGATTTGTTATGAAAAGCTGTGGTCACATGTTAATTACCTTGTTATTAACATTGATTTTGGCTTTTCAATGAATGTATAAATACTTTTTTCTGCTTATGTAGGCGGACAGCAGTCTCAACATGCTGCTGCTACTACGAATACTACTAATGTGTGAAGAACTATAGAAAAAAAATCAGATTAGTAATGACAAAAATAATATAGAATTCAAAGCCTCTATTGTACTTACGAGTTGATCACGGACTGATATCAGTTAGAGAACCATTGAAAACCAGTCACAGGGAGTACTGGAAAGCTGCTGTTTCATCCTAGTTTGGGAATCATCGGCAGCACGCACCCACTGGGATTCGAACCCAGGACCTTCCGGTTACAAGGCAAGCTAGCTCGTATACCATTCAGCCACTGGGACCCGATTCAATGGCTCATGAATTCTAACTTCTACCAATTCATGATTTAGCGCGAGAAGTTGTGACCAGTGAGGTCCATTTAGATGTCACGTGTGTGGATGGATGTCCCACCAACAACAATGGTTGGAGTCGCGCTAAATCACGAATTGGTAGAAGTTAGAATTCATGAGCTAGCCTGTGAATCGGGTCCCAGTGGCTGAATGGTATACGAGCTAGCTTGCCTTGTAACCGGAAGGTCCTGGGTTCGAATCCCAGTGGGTGTGTACTGCCGATGATTCCCAAACTAGGATGAAACAGCAGCTTTCCAGTACTCCCTGTGACTGGTTTTGAATGGTTCTCTAACTGATATCAATCCGTGATCAACTCGTAAAACATAATTAATCCTTACAAACCAAACTATAGAAAAATAAAATCAATTGTGAAGCCGTGTGACTAAAATTGATATGATTATGAGCAGCAATAATTTATGCTGGAAACCTTGTCACATCCAGTTGGTAATACTGAATCATCACTGTGTGTGATATTTATAATGCTGTTGATTTATGGTTGATAAGGTCAATGTTTAAGGTTTATTAACGTATATATATAAATGTGTGTGTGTGTTTATAATTGCTTCACTTTGATGTATTAGTTTGTTTATAAAGACCCTCAGCCACAGAGTTGGCGCTATATGTGCTCAGAAGAACTGTAACTGAAGATGAGTGCTTAAGCATTGTATATGATACTTTAATTGAAAATAGCTATTCCGACAGATTTTGTCTACAAACGGATGACAAAGAAAGCGGAAAAAGAATGGTTACTGAACAAAGAATATTCATTTCGATAACTTCATCATCATCTGAACAAAGCAACAACTACAGTTTTAGCAGAATAAAGTGGTACCATCACTAGCCATAGCCTATCCTGCAGCTAAGCTCGTTCCCGTCTTTCGAACAACTTGCTCTCTGGTGCAATCAAAAATCGATAGATATCCTTCTCATGTTAACTCCAACTGTATATACAAATTTACATGTATCTGCGGGAGCAGTTACATTGGAAGAACAGAAAGAAGAGCATATCTACGATTTTCTGAACATGTACCAAAGAGCTTACATCTAAAGGGAACAAATGCTTTAGGCAGTGCCATCGCTAGGCATCTTCTTGACACAGGTCATGAGGTGGACGTGGAAAAGTCATTCAAAATTATCAATAAGCAAAAGAGTTCAATGCTCCTTAAGTTTGCTGAAGCCTTTTCCATCAAGCGACTAAAACCTGATTTGTGCGTTCAGAAAGAAACGGTTATCAGTCTTTCTTTGCCCTGGTAACTGGATATTTTTCATCCTAATACGAGATACTGAAAAGTTTTCATTGTGTATGATTATTATTGTTCGGAATTGTGTTTAATATTGCATATATATATATATTATTAGTGTATGTGTATATTGATCGACTGATTTTTGTTTAAAATGAACTCTGTGTAAGTATGTTAAATTGTTTTTGTAGATGCATTTAATAATGTTTTTGCCCTGTAAGCAGCTGAAGAGAAGGCGACGAAATAAAAGATGATACCATTTTATTCTGCTAAAACTGTAGTTGTTGCTTTGTTCAAAGCCATTAAGGGGAATAAATGTATGAAATTTCATCATCATCAGGTTCTACATTAATGTTGCTTAAATAACATTGAATCAATAATAATAAAAATATCAATGGATTACAGTTCGATAGTATCAACATGACAACACACACTGAATATCAGAAAAATTAGGGAAAATAATAATAAGATTTAATAGTGTGAAATATTCCCATATCTCATGAATTAAAAGTCAATCTGAACAAAGAATATTCTTTTTAATAATTTCTCCTCTTCACGTTCTTACAATTATCGAATATAATATTTGGTGTCGTTACAACAATGATAGCCAGTTATGCGGCGGATACATCCTTTTTTATGTAGAATAACAGATTAGCAGTTATGGAGTGTCAAAATTAATATTGTAGTACTTGTGTGACAAACGTGCTAGGCTGATATCGATTACAAAATATTGTAAAATGGGAGACAATAATTAATGGTGGTGATTAGTCATAATAGATTTGTAGAGTGTGAGGTAGTAATAATAATACAAATTCATGAATTTATAGTCTTCCAGTGTAGGCCGGCTAGCACTTGCTTCTTCTGCACACAGAGCAGCAGTTGTTTCAGGCGAATCACAATAGCCTCTGATTAGTTTGGAGTATGCAGTACCTGGATGTTTCCTGATGATTAAGAAAGTTGAAAAGGACTATTCACTATCCGTAAACAAGAAGCTTCTGTACGTATATACGACTGTAATTCAAGGGTGACGTACCGAGTGAAACAATTACTAACAAGTTAAGAAAATCCATTCAAAGAACTTTTGATGCTGGTAAACTACAAGTCATGTTTTCTACCCAATCGAGGGTGATTCCTCAATTGAAAGATGAAGTACTTAGACTAGCCACTTCTAATTGCATCTACTAATTCAACTGCGAGAAAGAATAATTGTTCACTGGTGCATCTTTGCCTTTTGGCGAAATCTTCTCACTTTCGAACAGTTAGAAGCGTGTTCCGCTCGTAAGATTTAGATATGATGTAGAAGATTTGTAGCTCAGGTGGATGATTTTGATGTGGTTGTGTTCTCTGAGCTACTAATCTTCTCCATGATATCTAAATTCAACTGCATTTGTGTTGGAGTAGGTTATATTGTCAGTTGCTCTGAGGATTTGATTTTTCGTGCATCCTTGGGAACATCTACCAATGTGGTTCAATAAAGGTGTAGTGAGAAGCATCAATAGCTCGATATTAGAACACCTGGTGCAAACCGGCTGGCCACAAAGCTTATAATGAAGAGTCCTTCTGCATCATCTACAGGGTTCCAAACAAATTGCCAAAAGCATCCAGGTACTGCATGCTCCAAACAGCAGAGGCTATCGCAATTAATTCGCGTGAAACAACTAGTGCTTTGTGTGCAGAAGAAGCAAGTCCAGCCACCACTACTGCTCTGGCTGGTTTTCAGTGAAGAGTATAAATTCATGAATTTGTATAATTATTTCCCGTAATTTTTCTGATATTCAGTGTGTAATGTTATGTTGATACTGTTGAACTGTAATCTATTGATATTATTATTGATTCGATGTTATTTAAACAACATTAATATTGTTAATAACCCTAATTCATTCATTCACTATAATGTATATATAACTGTAGAGCCTGATGATGAAGTTATCGAAAAGAGTACTCTTTGTTCAGTATCCATTCTTTTGAAAATTTTAATTGGCATGTTTTATGAGTTAAAATGTACTAAATATTGGTTCTCAACCGTACATATAATAGAAGTGTGAAGGCTTATTAAATAAAGGTAAATGAAGTGGTAGAATAGTGCATAGATACAGCAAAAGTACATTATTTAACCAGTTATACCAATGAGAACACGTCAGTAAGAAATGAACGGAACAGCTGTCCAGTCTTAATAATAAAACCATACTGGTAGCCATGTGTGAAGTGAGTGTGAACTCTTATCCAATCAGTTGTATATGTTATATCGCAGAAGATTATTAGATTCCAGAAGAATGTAAGGCATGAATGTGTATTTGTCATTGATATATCATCGACATTACTTCAGGCCTTCAACCGCAGACTGTCCTAATCAAGTGAATCATAGCTATGCAACCTATACACTTCCAATCGATAAACACCTGGAATATATCACTCGTATAAAAAGAGGTCTTACAATCGTGATGTGATCATGAACAATTAAATTGTGTTTGAAACGTCATCCAGTAATAATAATGTTGTTTCATTGTGTAATATATGTATTTCACAGTGCCCTGATTTTACACATTTATTAATTTGTGTTATTTAGTGAATAGTGTTTAACAGTGGAATCCACCAGAGTGCGCACTTCGTCGTATTTGGGGCTCATCAACTGGATCTACCTGGATTCTCAGTGCTCACTGTGGATTCCACTGATACTCACCATCCACCAAATAGCAACATGTTAATCCTCAGACATCATTGAAGCATTCGTACTTTGGGAACAGAGGTGTCATCGAAAATTGAATTTTCCGGTCCAGTATAAACAATTCATGCTGAAGACAAAACACGTAGTTCAGCGAAGAACCTCTTTTCGGTGGCGAATTCATTGGCTTAGCTGTACAAACGCAATTATTTATAATTATTTTTGTATTTGTGTGTGTACATTGAGTTTGTCAGACAAGAATAGAAATTAGTTAGGGTTATTGTTCACGTCATCAAAATATTTCAAAAAATGTGATGACTAATCGAACTGTAACTAGGATGGAGGGGGGGGGGAATGACGATTAGTAAGAGGGTAGTGGTGATGAGTTGTCAAAAGAAAACACACTTGGTAGAAGTCAGAATTCATGGGCTGGCTGGCCATTGAATCGGATCTCTGTGGCTGAATGGTCTACAGCTTGCCTTGTGTGTGCTACATGGAGTGTGGCGACTTGAACTGCCGCACATCGGTGCAAAGTTCTATGTCGAATACAGACAGACAGAATTAGGTTTCGTTTACCGTCTTGCAATTCGACTATTCATCACATTTTTGAAATATTTTGATGACATAAACAATAACTAGTTTTTATCCTACTCTGACAAACCCAATGTACACACACATATGTATGTAATTGTGATTGTACAGGCAACTGAATGAATTTACCGAAAGGAGACTGTTAGTTTGAGACCCTTCATCAGTGCGTACCCACCGGGGTTCGAACTCAGGACCTTCTGGTTACACTCGAGAAAACTCGTTGATCCGATTCAATGTTGTTAACTTGTTTTTCAATTTTTACCTAGCAAAATGATATTGTTAACTATTCCTCTCTTCTTTTTTTTTAAATAATCAGATACGTATTGCACAACTAGAAGCCCAGTTAAATGATATTACAGCACGTTTGACAGCCAGAACATTGAATCCTATTGCATCATCATCTTCAGCTATTAATCAACCGGATTCATCATCATCGTCATCTTGCACTCCCGCACCCACTACTGCTACTTCACCTGCTATCGATATCAACTCTCCGTCTCCTTCGTCTACATCAGCATCATCTGAATCCTGTAATTCAGCATCAACTGGATCGAAATCAACACATTTAGTTAGTAGTAGTAGTAGTAGTAGTCCATCTGTACCACCACCACTTCCTGATTTTGAAAGTTCACCTGAATGGCATCGATGGTTCAATCATCAAAAGGATTTTTGGGATGGTCCTGGTGGTGTTGGTGGTGGTGATGACATCGTTAACAATGAAGATGATGGTGAATTTGAATCAGATGATGGTGGTGGTGGTGATACAACACACGAACACGAAGATATTTATTCATCAAGATTTAATGGTATTACATCATTGTCGAATAGTGAAAAAGAAAAGTCAAAACAAACAATGTCGACAGCTGAATCATCGAGTACTAGTAGTAGCAGTAGTAGTAGTACTAGAAGTCGTAGCACCATCAGCGGCGGCCGCGGCAGCATCAGCAGTGGCAATAGTCCTAATGTATACAATTCGAAATCTTTATTCTATCCATATGTATCAGCTCATCATCATTATCCTTCTCATCATCATCATAAGCATAAGGATCTACCATCCAATTGGAAACAGCTGATTTACAATTGGCTATGGATACAATTCACTTGGCCTATAAGTTTATATGATTTAGGCGTGTATATTCATAAAACATGTCAAGCGAATTCTGTGACTTGCAGTGTACGTCATTATGTTTATTATTATTTTTGTCTTTTTTCATATTGTAACTTAGTAGTAGTAGTAGTAGTGCAGGACGACTACTCTTATTATTTTTATTTTTATTATTGTTCCCTTGGGTTCCTAGTGGAACATAGGGCTTCAACTGCACGTCTCCATTTGCTTCTGTCTTCTACTGTGCTTTTCACTTGCATCCATGTTAGTTCATACTGTTTCAACTCCTCTTCACATGATCTCCTCCATGTCACACTTCGACGTCCCACTCGCTGCTTCCCCTTCGGGTTCCACTCGAGCACTGGCCTGATGCGTGATGTCACCCAACGGCCTCCTCAGCGAGTGTCCAATCCACCATCTCCACTTTCTCCTGCATATTTGTTGGGTGATTGGTTCTTGTTCTTTCCGGCCATCTGATCTTGAGTATAGAGCGAAGACAGTTGTTGATAAAGGTGTGCAACAGGCTGTTGGAAATATTCTTTGTGACCCGCTGCCAAGTTTCTGATCCGTATAGAAGAACTGACTGACTTGACGTTTGTATTGAAAATCCGAATCACTTTGTTGTTGATGCAGGCTGAGTGACAGCGGAAGATTTCCAGATTGGTTTCAGGTTGATGAATGTGTTTCTTGCCTACGACTACTCTTAGTTCCTGGTATCGGATTGAAATTTCCAAAAACTCCTGCCGTAATTTAAGCCACAATATTTTTTCTCACTTGTGATTAATAAGATATTATCGGTGGGTAGTTGTTTGTCTAGTTGCGGTGAGAACTGTCTGCTAGCCAAAAAAATACAGACAACAACAATTTCCGTGAATGTTTACGTCGCGAATCGGGGTTATGAGAAAAAAAAACAATAACAAAGCTTAGCTTTGAGGAACTCATCAACCAATCACAGCAGATTTGATGAGCGCAAAAACGATTCGCGGATATATGGCTTAATTTTCTAAGAAACAGCAACAAAGAGATGACAGAATAACCTTCAGCAGGAAAACAACCAATCAGAAGAGGTTGCTTCTCGGCTAACAATAACGCTGATAATAATGTACATGAAAATCTATAAATATCTGTTAATTTTCTGAATAAAGGATCTGTTTCCTGGCCATTTACTTCTGTCGCTACATAGTTCTCTCGTACATGAGTATAATTGTGTGAGCAATCATGCCAATAGGGTAGTTGATAATCATTCTTTTTGTAAAAGTTTCGGATGAACTCACAAGTGTCTACTGATCTGATGATTTTATTTAAGTATGCGTGTAGTTCATTGGCTTAGACATTTGATTTTTATTTAACTGATATTGAATTGATTATCCGATTTAGTGTACTTTGCAGTGTACAACCAAGCATTATCATAAATAGATTGAAGATCTTCAGTTGTCTCATGTATTATTCAACAAAATGAGACTCTGTTTATCTGTATACTTATTTGTACTGATATAAATTCATATTATAGTGCAGTATATGAACCTACATCTGTTAGAAATCCATTGAAAACTGTTTAGCACTGGAGAGTGTGACTTCGTCCTAACTTGGGACTCTTCATCAGTGCCCACCCCTTCCTTGTCGTATTTAGGACTGAACCAAAGACCTTCAGTCAACGAAACAGGCCCGTTCATCATTTAACTCTTGGGCTTGAATCCAGTGCCTTATGAGTTCCAGCTTCGGTTATTTTGCTATATATATATATATATATATATATATATATATATATATATATATATATAACCCAATGCTGTTGCCACGTTTCCGCTCTCACACCTCGCTTAAATAATTCCATAGGCTAAAACTTCTTATTACTCAGTATTACATTATATTTGTAGTCAACTGGTGGATGGCGACTAGCAGTGGAATCCAGGATGTGCATTTCGTCCTATTTGGGACTCGTCATTTGAATATATACCTGCATTCCCCAGTGAGTCAGCGATGGTACTCCCACAGAGGCTCGAAACCAGTGCCCATAGTTTCAAATGTCAAAGTGTTATCCACTAGACCACTTGGGTCACAAAGGCCACCTCTTGAATTAAATAATCAAGAGATGTCTCTCGTGGCCCAAGTTGTCTAGTGGATAACGGTTTGGTGTTTGAATCTAATAATAATTTGCCTTATTCCAAAAACAGTATTTATAATACAGAATGGAGTTCTCAGCATTTGTCACAATATTGCATCTAATTTACTTAAAATATAAACAGGGTTAATTACAGGAATTCGTCCACCTTTACGGTATAGACACTGGGTTTCAGCCTCTGTGGGAACAGCATCACTGACTCACTGGGGAATACAGGTGTACATCCAACTGATGAGTCCCAAATAGGACGAAATACGCATCCTAATGGATTCCACTGCTCGTCAGTCACCATCCACCACCAATGGACTTTAAGTTACATGACCAGACATCGTTGAAGCATCTGCACAAGAAGGTGATATGTCAACCTGAAACCGACCACTTGAGTCTAATCAATCGATGGGAAAATGTGAAATTAAATTAAGCATTATATTTGTGTTGTTTTTATATAACTCAAATTTTCTGTTGCTTTTATTTTTCTTTCTGCTTTAGGCTTTCAGTTTAATGTTTCTACATTTACTACTAGCAGCTATATCACACTTATTCATCTATTGGACATGGCTTCGACCGTATAATAATAATAGTAAAAATAAAAATCGTAAAAATAAATTCGGCACAGAAGTCTTATTATTATCATCATCATCATCCTCTCCATTATATCGAACATTATGCTCACATAGAAATAATCCTAATGCAAATAATTTAATTCTATGCTATTCACCGAATCATTTATCAGAGAATCATAGTGATAACAATCAGTGTGTTGTTAATGTTTCATTGCTTCCTCCATCGTCTACTAATTATTCTACTGCTAAAATTGAATTTCATGAAGATGATTTATTATTATTGCAGGAAGAGAAATCTCTTCAAAATTTAACATCAAATGTGTCAACATGTTGTTATTGTTGTTGTAGCTGTTATAAATCATCACTGGCTTCTTCATCTTGTATCGTGTCCTCCGCCTCCGCTTCCTCTTCATCTTCGTCATCAGCTGTAGCTGAGGCAGTGAAGAAATCGGCAGCATCAACTGCTTCATCAATGAATCACGCCTATCATCGTAATCATTTGATTCAAAGTAATACTATCGTCAATAATCCTGTATTAAAACAAAATGGAATTTACAAGGATAATGATAAAAATGTGATTATAAATAAAATAAATGATAAAAATATGCATACAGCATGTTGTATGCGTAATAATCAAACTGATCGCTTTATGTGTGATGATGCTAATGATAAGGATGTGTATTCTGCTGAGATTAAAAAGGTGAGTTAGTTAGTTAGTTAGTTATACACTCCTTTTTGTTCGTTTGCTTTTGTGTGTGTATGTGTGTATCGTCATGTCTTCATTTTATTTGATTGGATGGAGGATATCATCATGAGCAGCAGCTGACATCAGTTAGAGAACCACTGGAAAACCTGGGAGTATACTGGACAGCTGTTTCGTCCTAGTTTGGGAATCTTCAGCAGTACGCACCCACCGGGGTCCCGACCCAGGACCTTCTAGTTACGAGGCGACCTAGCTCGGAAACCATTAAGCAGCCACTGGGACCCAACCCGATCCAATGGCCAGCCAGTCCATGAATTCTAACTTCGGCCAATTCATGACATAGCGTGACCATTTTGCAATGTCTTCTTCTATGACTTACTGCCTCACCACCTTCAACCTGTTGTGTACCCTACCCTACTGGTGGTCACGGTTTCCCACTAGAACCCCAGGTAACTAACTAACTGCCTGAATAGGGCCAGTCGCTAGTGAGCATCAGATTAACTGATTTAAATAATTGGATCCAAGAGCTTCAGAGAATGAGTTATTGCGACATAACACAATCTTTTGAGTACTTTATTTAATCCAATTCATTGGATCGGGTCCCAGTGGCTCAGTGGTCTACGAGCTAGCTCGCCTTGTAACCAGTAGGTCCTGGGTTTGAACCGTGGTGGTGGGTGTGTACTGATGAAGAGTCCCAAACTAGGACGAAACAGCTGTCCGGTATAGTCCCAGGTTTCCCATTGGTTCTCTAATTGATTTCAGCTCATGATGAAATCCTCCATCCAATCAAACAAAAATCCCTACAAAACCCATACTTGAAAGTCTTCATTTTATTCTTGGGGATAACAGATAGATAAACGTTTTTTTACTTATTGCAAACTTATTTGTTATTAGTATCAAGTGTTGGTATGTAGGGATTTGATTAGTTACAAGATTCACTACGAGCTGACATTAGTTGGAAAACCACCAGGGAGTACTGGACATCTATTTCGTCAGCCTAGATTGACACTCATCAGAAGTACACACCCACCGCCAGGGGGTTCGAACCTGGAACCTCCCAATTACTAGGTGAGCTAGCTCGTCGACCATTCAGTAGCCACTGGGACCCGACTCAATAACCAGCCGGCCACGAATTCCAACTCCTGCCTATTCGTGATATGTATTCAGCTCAAATGCAAGCCAGTATCACAGGCGAGTAACTGTCCACTTGCCTGACTTGTTGACCCCAGTTATTGGTGATGACTTTTTCACTGGAACCCCAGGTAACTTCCTGTATATAGAGTCAGTCGCTAGTGAACATCAGATTAATTATCAAGTGTTGGTTTGCAGGGATTGGATCGGTTACAGAATTAATTGATCACGGGCTGACATCAGTTAGAGAGCAGCTGTTGGTTATCGTTCTCTATTATTACCACTGGCAGATTTCTCCATCTTTTTCTGCTAGTTCAGACTTCATTACTACCAATACTACGACTCATACTGCCGCTACAGTTATTGCTCTATTTCTTGTCTGGTTGTATTTCTTCAAAACAGAAATAATTAGAACGAACAATTGTTTTCAGTAATTTCTTCTTCAGACTCTAAAACCATAAGTCTATAAATTATAGTCATACAATCAATAGCCAGTAAAGGCAAATTAGAATTACATCAGAAATTGTATTCTGGAACAAGTATAAAGTAGAATAATAGTCGATTGTGATTATTATTTGAAAATGTATGGTCAATAAGAACATGAGGTAAAATAAAATGAAATAATTCAATGATGTTTGCATGTGATATATATATATATATATATATAATCAGCAAAAGGGCAGGTTTCACAAGTGATTGTAGTCAGTGGAGTAAGACACCATATGGGGTAGGCTAGACGTAAGTCCTAAGGTGACAATTAACTGTAATATTAACAAAACAATAACTATGGTGTGTGGTGTAAACATAAAAGTACTACTATGACGCTAGAAGACTTGGTTAAAGGGGATGTTTCTTTGCAATTTGATATCTATCTTCATATAGCGAAACTATGTACACCTTATCTTTAGTGCACTATTTTCACGGATATTCCGTGTTCTGCTTGCTACACTTCTGGCCTTCCTTATTATATTACTTTTGTCTTCATTTCGCGTCTCTCATGTTTTACCGAAACATACTGGTTCATTTCCTCTCTCTCTCTCCCTCTCCTTGACGTCAAATCCATCTGTTCACTATTCGACGTTTTTTTATGCAGATGAATTTCTCCCTGTATACTACTGATAAATCGTAACAGTAATACACACTACACTATTATTGAACGATGATAAGCAGGTAATAAAGAGTTAAATAGAGTCAAATAAACAGGATTGTGTAAATGCAATAACGAGTTTGAAAAGTATTACTTAAACTCGGGATAATATTATACACAATAAAAAAGTCATGAAGATGCAAACGGTCTGAAATTTATGTTTGTCAATGAAACAAAGAGGAAACGAAGAGAAAAAAAGTGGGATAGGGATTTAAAGTGTTTATAAAGGATTTGTTGACCTTATTGTACACCAAAGCGCGGTTGGATACATACATACATACATACATACACCAGGTCTTCTGGCCTTGATTGCTTACACCGTCTCTGGTGTAGGCGTGATATCCGGCTCGTTGTCGACCAAAAGATGTGTGTACTGCTCAGCAGTCCGCTCCGTCCTCCTATATGGCTGTGAGTGAGACATGGTCATGAAAAGACTGGCCACCTGTCCTCGATCTTAAGTGTCTGCGTTTTATCTCCCGTGTGAACTGGTACGTGTAATAGGGTGAGCAATATTGAGGTTTGGCATCGATCGAGTGCTAGGTAGGTGATAGGGGAAATCAATAAACGAGTCTGGCCAAGGCCTTCTCTGTCGTTAGAAGTCTATAACGAAGAAAACGCAGCCAACAAGTAGGCATGGATTCGGTAGATGATCTTACAATCGTGGTCAGGGTTGGTAAAGTGACAGAAGTCGATCAAGTGTTCTAGAATAGATTTTCTCACATTTGTCCTTTCTCCCTTGTAAACCCATGCTGGAATATGTGACCACTTTTGTCTTGATGTTAACAACTGCCAGCTGAGGCAGTGTTTCGTTTTGTTTATGAATTTACTGTTGGTCAGATATAGATGAACTTTTCAATGAAATTTTATTCCGATAGTTACTGCTGCTGTATATTCGTTGACATCGAACTTCAATATGTTTTTCCGACTGACTTATAATTTTATTATTCCCTTGGGTTCCTAGTAGAACATAGGGCTTAAAAAACACTTCTCCACTTTGTTCTATTTTCTGCTGTCCTCTTCATCTGCGTCCACGATTGCTCTCATCTCTTCCTCGCCACATGATCACCTTCTTGTCACCCTCACACCGACGATCTACTCATCGGCTTCCATTCACGTTCTACTTGAGCAATCAGCTGGCTTGCGATTTCATTCGTCAGCCTCCTCAACGTATGATTAAAATTTCGTCTTTTCACATTTACCATAATTAACATTTGACATATTGTGGTGTGTACTACTGATAAGATTTATCAGTAGTATATAGGGAGAAATTCATCCGCATAAAAAAACGTCGAGTAGTCAAGAGATGGATTTGACGTCAAGGAGAGAGGGAGACAGAGGAAATGAACCAGTATGTTTCGATAAAACATGAGAGACGCGAAAAGAAGACAAAAAGAATACAATAAGGAAGGCCAGAAGTAGCAATTTTTTTTTACTTCGGCTATCTCCTACGGGAGGATGAGCCGGCTTCATGAATATCTCGAATCATCGCTGCCCAGGCACGGCGATCTGATGCAAGGTTTTGCGACAGGGTTATCCAATTCTTGTTCCACAGACGGAGTCCGTAGACGGTTTGTAGCCCCAGGCAGTCCATATCAGCCTTGACTGTACCAAGCCATGTTTTCAGCTGTCCACCCCTGCGACATCGCCAAGATGGTAATGGCGAGGGATTTAGAACTGATTTGACCAGATCGTCATCTGGTCGGCGCAGATTATGGCCAAACCACCGAAGGCGACGTTGTTGGACCAGTACTGGAATTTGGTTGATGTTGAGAGTTCATGAAGTTTCATGGGAATTTGGTACGAGTGATGTCCCCAGAATCGCTCGGCCTTTTGATTGAGAGTGCAGCTCTAGCCTTTACACAACCAAGTGTGACCTACAAGGCAGTAGGAGTGGAGTAGGGAATCCACTATCCATTGGCAGCCGGTGACCGGAGTTCGGTTCATACGCCATTTTGAATGGGGCCAGACATCCAGGAAATCCAACAAGCCCTTTGTCCATACGTCTGCCGGTGAGCTCCAGTGAGCTTTATACGCCAGTCGTTGGAGGTTTGGAATCAGGGTTTAGCTATCTCCCCTAGACTGTCATCCAATGGACAGTCAACCCGGTGAAGAGCGCCGGACATCCGCTTTCGCCCTCTCACTTTGGTGAAGTAGCAAGGACAACACGGAATATCTGTGCAAATGGTGCACTAAAGATAAGGTGTACATAATTTCGGAATATGAAGATAGATATCAAATTGCAAATAAACATCCCCTTTAACCAAGTCTTTCGTCATCTAACGTTACAATATAATATGTACTAGCTAATAAACAAATCATATAGGGGTACACTTACGATTTATGTAAACGCTATTTGTGCTTTTCCTTCATGAGTACTTTCAATTGAAATCAATATATATGTCGTTGTTGTTGTTTTATTTTACCACCGTGGTTTTATGCCTAAATATTATTAGAAAAGAATATAAGTAGAATGTGAGGTTTAACCAGACACGGTTTTCGGGTTTTAGATAGGGAAAGTATTGATTGCGTATATGATATTAAAAAAAGTCATTCATTTACAGTTGAGGAATGTAATTACACTGTGATTTTAGAATAATACTCGGATTAGTTTCATAGTTAACTTTAAGCTGACGCAGTCGCTCGTGTGTGTATATGTGTATGTATGTTTGTATGTGTGTATAGGTGTAATATAGTCTGATTGCGTTGTTAATAGTGCTAA